AGGCTAGTAATAGAGGTAGTAATATAATATACATCAGTAGGGGTGGTGATAGCAACAGGAAGAGTAATAGTCGCAGCAGTAGTAGTCTAGCCGTGCTAGGACGAATACTATGAGACGTTTTCCTTAACTTGATTTTCACTGCGCGAAAATCATTTTCGGAGTTGTGTTGGCAAAAAGTGGAAAAAGTTTGTTGTAGTAGTAGTAGTACTAGTACTAGTACTAGTAGTAGTAGTAGTAGTAGTAGTGGTGGTAGTAGCAGTAGCAGTAGTAGTAGCAGTAGCAGTAGCAGTAGCAGTAGCAGCAATATAAGTAGAATTAGTAATAATAGTCGTAAAGAAGTAATACTAGTTCTAGTAAGACTACGAGTAAGAAAAATAGTAGCCTCTCGTAAGCGGTTCCCCAGCAGGTATGGGTCCCGACCGGGCTTTGCCGAACAGGAACGGGCAGAGAGGCTAGTAATAGAGGTAGCAATATAATATACAACAGTAGTGGTGGTGATAGCAACAGTAATAGTAATAGTCGCAGCAGTAGTCTAGCCGTACACGGCTACTAGATGTTTTCCTTAACTTGATTTTCACTGCGCGAAAATCATTTTCGGAGTTGTTTTGGCAAAAAGTGGAAAAAAGTAGTAGTAGTAGTAGTAGCAGGAGTAGCAATATAAGTAGAATTTGTAATAATAATAGTAAAGAAGTAATACTAGTTCTAGTAAGACTACGAGTAAGAAAAATAGTAGCCTCTCGTAAGCGGTTCCCCAGCAGGTATGGGTCCCGACCGGGCTTTGCCTAACAGGAACGGGCAGAGAGGCTAGTAATAGAGGTAGCAATATAATATACAACAGTAGTGGTGGTGATAGCAACAGTAATAGTAATAGCAACAGTTGTTAGTAGCAGTAGTAGCAGTAGTAGCAGTAGTTTCAGTAGTTTCAGTAGTAGCAGTAGTAGCAGTAGTTTCAGTAGTTTCAGTAGTAGCAGTAGTAGCAGTAGTAGCAGTAGTAGCAGCCAGCACTGATCATTTGCAATTCCTGCAGCACTTTGGCAGATTATGTTGCGCAGGAATCCATTCATTACAGTTGATGCCTCTTTCCAATTTGATTTTCAATTCGCGAAAATCATTTTCGGAACCCCGGAAGCTGACAAAATAATTTTTTTGAGAATGTGGAACCGGTTCGGTTCCATTCGGTTTGCGTAAAAATAATTGGCGGTTCGGTTCGTGCCCATTCGGTTTGCGTAAGAATAATTGGCGGTTCGGTTCGTGCCGGTTCTTAGCCTGCCGGTTCCTGAACGGTTCGGTTCCCGGTTCACGGTTCGTTTCCTAAGCCATACATATTAGTCGTCACATGTCGTCACTAATGACAAGATATGTGACTTGATGTGATGCACTGGTTTCTGTGGCAGTTTGCGATGTTTGTGTGAGATCTTGGCGGTTTCTTCGAATCTCAGGACAGAAGCAGATGCGCTCTACAACGCGCGGCTGGCGGAATTTACCAGGCAGGAGCTCCCACAATTTGCACATCCATTGATTTTTTGATACTTTTGCCAAAGCGTTTGCTCTTTGCCGACTTCTCAGGCGAATGGAGGACTAGTGGCTAGCGGCTTGCCCAGTGAGTTTGCAGCTGGGGCTTCGGGCAAACCACAGCATCCAGATCGTCCGGATCACCTACGCATTGATACATCGAGTAACCAATTGGCCGCGTTGGTACCAGCAAAGTGTTGACCCTTGCCAACTCAACTACCTGTCAGTACAACATGAGTATAATATATATATATATATACGTATATATATATATATATGTGTGTATATGTATGTATATGTATGTATACGTATGTAATGTTATGTAATGTTATGTATGTATGTATGTATGTATGCATGTATGTATGTATGTATACGTATGTATTGTAATGTAATGTTATGTAATGTTATGTAATGTTATGTAATGTTATGTAATGTAATGTTATGTTATGTTATGTAATGTTATGTTATGTAATGTTATGTAATGTAATGTAATGTTGTGTAATGTTATTTTATGTTATGTAATGCAATGTTATGTAATGTAATGTTATGTAATGCAATGTTATGTTATGTTATGTTATGTAATGTTATGTAATGTTATGTAATGTTATCTTATGTTATCTTATGTTATGTAATGCAATGTAATGTTATGTTATGTAATGCAATGTAATGTTATGTTATGTTATGTAATGTTATGTTATGTTATGTTATGTAATGCAATGTAATGTTATGTAATGTTATGTTATGTAATGTAATGTTATGTAATGTTATCTTATGTTATGTAATGCAATGTTATGTTATGTAATGCAATGTAATGTTATGTTATGTTATGTAATGTTATGTAATGTTATGTAATGTAATGTAATGTAATGTTATGTATTGTAATGTAATGTTATGTAATGTTATCTTATGTTATGTAATGCAATGTTATGTTATGTTATGCAATGTAATGTTATGTTATGTAATGTAATGTTATGTATTGTAATGTAATGTTATGTAATGTTATGTTATGTTATGTAATGTAATGTTATGTATTGTAATGTAATGTTATGTAATGTTATGTAATGTAATGTTATGTATTGTAATGTAATGTTATGTAATGTTATGTTATGTTATGTAATGCAATGTTATCTTATGTTATGTAATGCAATGTAATGTCATGTTATGTAATGTAATGTTATGTAATGTAATGTAATGTTATGTAATGTTATGTGATGTAATGTAATGTAATGTAATGTTATGTAATGTAATGTAATGTTATGTAATGTTATGTATTGTAATGTAATGTTATGTAATGTTATCTTATGTTATGTAATGCAATGTTATGTTATGTTATGCAATGTAATGTTATGTTATGTAATGTAATGTTATGTATTGTAATGTAATGTTATGTAATGTTATGTTATGTTATGTAATGTAATGTTATGTATTGTAATGTAATGTTATGTAATGTTATGTAATGTAATGTAATGTTATGTAATGTTATCTTATGTTATGTAATGCAATGTTATGTTATGTAATGTTATGTTATGTTATGTTATGTAATGTTATGTAATGTAATGTAATGTTATGTAATGTTATGTGATGTAATGTAATGTAATGTTATGTAATGTTATGTAATGTTATGTAATGTAATGTTATGTAATGTTATTTTATGTTATGTAATGCAATGTTATGTTATGTTATGTAATGTTATCTTATGTTATGTAATGTAATGTTATGTAATGTTATCTTATGTTATGTAATGCAATGTTATGTAATGTTATGTAATGCAATGTAATGTTATGTTATGTAATGCAATGTAATGTTATGTAATGTTATGTAATGTAATGTAATGTTATGTAATGTTATCTTATGTTATGTAATGCATTGTTATGTTATGTTATGTAATGTAATGCAATGTTTTGTTATGTTATGTTATGTAATGTTATGTAATGTAATGTAATGTTATGTAATGTTATCTTATGTAATGTAATGTAATGTTATGTAATGTTATCTTATGTAATGTAATGTAATGTTATGTAATGTTATCTTATGTTATGTAATGCGATGTTATGTTATGTAATGCAATGTTATGTTATGTAATGTTATCTTATGTTATGTAATGCAATGTTATGTTATGTTATGTTATGTAATGTTATGTTATGTTATGTTATGTAATGTAATGTTATGTAATGTTATCTTATGTTATGTAATGTAATGTTATGTAATGTTATCTTATGTTATGTAATGCAATGTTATGTTATGTAATGCAATGTTATGTTATGTTATGTAATGTTATGTTATGTTATGTAATGTAATGTTATGTAATGTTCTGTAATGTTATGTAATGTAATGTAATGTTATGTAATGTTATCTTATGTTATGTAATGTAATGTTATGTAATGTTATCTTATGTTATGTAATGTAATGTTATGTAATGTTATGTAATGTAATGTAATGTTATGTAATGTTATCTTATGTTATGTAATGCATTGTTATGTTATGTTATGTAATGTAATGTAATGCAATGTTATGTTATGTTATGTTATGTAATGTTATGTAATGTTATGTAATGTAATGTAATGTTATGTAATGTTATCTTATGTAATGTAATGTAATGTTATGTAATGTTATCTTATGTTATGTAATGCGATGTTATGTTATGTAATGCAATGTTATGTTATGTATGTATGTGTGTGTGTTTGTGTGGCAAAAATCTGGCATCGGCTTGAAACCGCCCATGTTCCCAACTTGTTTTCTGGTGCTTTTGCAAAGGCAACCTGCAACCGCCGTCATGAGACTCTCCGAGGCCTTCACCGGTGAAGCCGGGTCAGCTGCCACAGAGGTTGGGCTCAAAGCCACTTGCAACTGACATCAACTGATGCTAAACAAGGTTTTCTGTCATGCTTTTCTGTCATGCTTTTCTCATGCTTTTCTCATGCTTTTCTCATGGTTTTCTCTTGGTTTTCTCTTGGGAATGCAAGTGCCGGCGTATCGCAGTCTGACCATTTAGCATTTGTTTGCCCTCCACGGAGAGCATCTTAGCCTATGTTAGCTATGACGAAAAACTGGGGTACCGACATCATTTTGCAACGTGCGAAGCTTATGAACTTGGCGTCTTGGATTGCCAGCTGTGCCATAATATGGCGATGCAGATGCTCTCCACGTGCATTTTTAGCATCTCTTGCAAAAGCAAAGATGAACACATAAGTCACAATCCCAGCGCCCAAAGAGTGGACAGTGCTCTGATCTCACGGCTGTGCTGTTCCTGGCGGCAAAATGACCTGTGGCTCTGGAAGGGTTGACATGTGTAATGTCATGCCATGACCACGCAACATAAGCAACTTCTACGTCGGCTTCTGATATCTTCTGCGTGTGCCTTACAGATCATGGCGATGAATAATTAGCCTTGAAGATCCTTGAAGCATTTTGCAGCATCTTGCAGCTATCGTTTCATCATATCAAACCTCCCTGGCGGACCCCCGAAACAGAGGTCCGGGCATGAACTCCACAGTGTTGTCCATGGTGCAGATGTGGTGGTGCATGTCTGCATATGTCTGCGTGTCAGGTGTCATGGGAGTTGAAACCAAGCAGCCAGCTGAGCAAAGCTCCAAAGTCGAAAAGAGGACACAGACTGACACTGTGGAGATGGACCCGGATGGAGATGGGAAGATTCCGATTCTCGTGGCGACGTCAAGTTTGATGCTTTCGTGTTTTTTTCCCACTGCAATACCAATTCAAAAAAGGAGCTTAAACCAACCGTAAATGTCCCTAAGAAAACCTTAAATAAGCCCTAACCCAACCGTAAATAGATGATACACCAATGATTCATGATAACATCAAATGAAACTATTTGCACAATGTGAACTGAACCAAGTGAGCGAGATTCAGAGGCTGACGGTTTCTCATATGTTTTTACTGCTTGGCGATTAAGTCCCCAATTTTTCTGGTCAAATAATAGAGGCCCCCAAAATGGTGATGAAGAGCGAGTAGGGATTACAGATGATTACAGGATTTTCAGCGCACAAAGTTCCACGGCATCAAGGCTCGATAGTTTTCAAGGTTCGAGTTGCAAAGCTCCACAGGCCCAAAGGGCTGCAAGGTTCAAAGGTTTTAGGGTTCCAAGGCCCGGTTTTCTGGACCGTTTCAAGAGCTTTCGGGAATCTTACAGACCGATGTTTGTGAGAAAGCATATTTGCAGGGATTTTTCCAGGAATTCTTTCAAGATCTTCAGGGATTCTCAAAGGGAACTTGAGAGGGTTTTTTCCCGAAGGGAACAGCTTCATGGAACTTTGCACAGAACCTCCCATGTATAGATTTTTGGGTTTTGTTTCAAGGAATTCACCCAGGGTTTTTTGATTTGAGGGGGTTCCGCGAAGGTTTTTCCGAGCAATTTTTTTGCACGCGGGATTTTTCATGGTTTAATGGGAATTCACGTATTTTTGTCCGGGTGTAGCTTTAAAAATCCTAATCGTCATTGTTTTTGAATTTATTTTGACAACGTGAAGGAAAAAATTGGATGGAGTGCCCCTTCCGCGACCCAAACATGTATTTTTAGATGTTTTACACTGGTGCAAGTGTTTTTTGTTTTTGGCAGCATTTTTTTTAGCCTTCCTGAGTTTGCTCAGTTTCCTTTTGGTCTTGGTTTTTATTATATGTTAGTTTTTCTTCAGCAACCTCTGTTTCTCTTGTTCTTCTGTACGTCTGTAAGTTCTAAACTGGTTGTCCTGCGGATGCTTGGACTTCCCCCCCGACAGAGAAGAAATACCGATGCCCTTGAGGGAGTAAGAACCTTAGTGAGCGCAGCCAATGAAAAAACCGTAAACCTGTCTGCAAGGACCCAGCTAGCAGCAATTTTCTTGCATTCTCCGAAGGTTTTGGGGGCTATGGACACGGTTGGTTTTCATATTTTATTGTTGTTTCTATGTTTCTTCAATATTGTCAATGCCATACCTGCCAGCATTTCCAGGTCAAAAACTACTCTGCACCTTGCTTGCTGCTGCTGTGCGACAATGCCTTCGTCCTTCGTTTAGTATCCACAGTACCCCTGTGAATTCCACCATTCGTTTACTCTCCGAAATCCATGGGAAGCAGATTTAGTATCGCAGCTGTGCTATGCTGTGCTCAGGAGCAAAACCAAAAGAAAGCGCGATCGACAGATCTTCCTGGCCATTTGTTGCCAAGTACCTGGGGAAGCCATGGTTTGCAGCTCAGGGGCTGCCTACAGTCGCAAGATTTACGGAGAATCCCAAATCCTCCCAGGTTGGAGTTGAAATAAAGTTTGCAAGTGTCCATATTGCAGCTTCTGAACATTAATCATATTATATATGTTTATGTATGTTTAAGTCAGATTTCAATTGAGTTTCCAGGGTTCAAGGATACACCTGGTGATGAATTGGGTCGGCACCATCACAGAAACAAGTGCTGTTCAGGCATCGAGCACTGGAATCTGCGTGCACGAAAAGGCCAGGCACTTCTCTCAGAGTATAAGTGAGTGTAAGAGCCACGACAGGAACAGCAAGATACGAATGACATCAAATGACCAACATAAAGTTAGATTGATGATACTGGGATATGTTTATATATAATATATAATATATGTTTAGGTTTCATTTATGTTTCATAGAGTCAACGAATGCCGATCTTCAGCGGTCGCCAGGAAATCCTTCGGGACGTTCTGAACGTGTGGGCTCGTGGCGTGCTGCAGGGCCGCTCCTTGCCATCCGAGGCACCAGATCTTCTAAGTAGGGCACCAGATACTGGATACTTTTTATGATATCTGAAGATATCTGAAGATATCTGAAGATACCTAAGGTGGATTTGTTTTTTTGGTTTGTGATGATGTGTTTTTTTGCATCGTGCACCGTGCTTGGATGAAGACGTATTCCTTAGAGACTGAAGAACTTGAGATTGCATTTTAAATTGTTCTGCTATAGAAGCATGTATCCCTGCAGGCTCGAGTGCTCAGCAACATGAGGGGGAAGGACCGCACCCCGGTGATCCGTGATGCTGGTAGAAACAGGGCCATGGACACCGGCTATTTTGCACTCGTCAGGGCTCTCGAGAAGTGCCTACGGTTTAGAATGTTGAACGTGTGAAAGAAACCTAAATTCTATGGCATATAATAGTATCTATTACAATATAATAATATCTATTATTGTAATTAATAATCATGGCCTAAAAGAATACAATAATAATAGATTTTGAACTTCAAGGCCATGATTTTCGATGCCGGAGCTTTGAAGTCACGTATTGCTACACTACCGACATGTTTCGCGTTTGTTGAAGGCTCCAGACATGGCCCCACGACTTATGGAGCACTGGAGATGTCTTAAAGATGCTTAACGATACTTAATGATGCTTAATGATGCTCAATGCCTTGAAGTGTTCTTGCCAGGATTTGCCGCTGGACGTCCGAAAGCCATTGCAACTGCTGCGACGGAGTCTTCCAGTGCCTCAGTTGCGAAGAGTGTAACATATGGGGGTGTCCTATGGGTGTACCCCAAAATGGATGGTTTATAATGGTTCATAATGGAAAATCCTACTAACATGGATGATTTAGGGGTACCCCCATTTCAGGAAACCTCCATACTGTATAGTCATAGTCATGAGAAGCACGAGATTTGGCAAGACGCTGCCAGATGGAGATACCATGAGAGATGCAACATGAGACACTGTATGAAGTATGATACCAGTCACCTCACCCAAGCTTTTGCCGTGCTGTGAGCAGGTGCGGAAAGGCCACTACACAGTGTGCCTGCCTCAAGTCAGGTCTGAATGCTGGAGCGAAGAGAATAATCATTCAAAGTAGATGCACAATACCTGATGTATACACATGTATACACTATATGAACAAAGAGAATGAAAGAAGCAAGTTGTTGTTGACTCACAGCTCCTTTAGGAGGCCATCATGTGCTTGAGGAAAGATGTTTTGTGTAGAATTGTGCTGCTTCAATTGGAACACTTTGCTCCAGCTGAAAAGCTGCGAATGCTTGAAGTGCACAGCGCTTTCAGAGTCCCAGTGCCACGACCAAGTCAACCCCTGACCAAGGACTGTAATCATGCCAAAAGAGGCCGTATGTTTGTGCGGGTGGTAAAAGCTGCAGGTTGGCAGGTTGCTGAGAGGCTTCACATCGCTTCACATCGCTTCACTCCTTTCGTCTTTCATGGCGCATTGCTTCGAAGGCCCTTCGACCGGTTGCAGAGCCCTCGCCAAAGCTCAAGGCGAATCGGCAGATCATGGTATGGAAAACGGATCAAAACGGATCAAAATGGATCAAAAACCTAAGTCCGGTGCAGCCAGTACCCAAATACCATCAAATACCAAGGTCAGTCCAAATGAACACAGAAAGACAAACATGTGATGCATTCCCAAATTCCGTTGATTTGACGAGCCGTTCGAGCCTTCGGGATCCGTCGGGCACGTTAGCCGACTCCATCTGCTGGCATAGAAATTGTCCAGGCCAAAGATGCCAAAGGGCCGAGGTCATCGACAGCCGCTGGGCACCGAGGATCCAAAAGTCGGACGCAAAAGTTGAATTTGCTTCATTTTCTTGTTGACTATTCATCACAGATTTGTCATAGATGTTATGGGTCTCCTCCTTTGAATAATTGCTGCAGAACCTTATCCGCTGGACTTGAGGCGGTCTTTGTAGCAAAATGATGGATATACTGGATGCACCAGCTTGGGATGTGGGATGCAGACTAAGGAGAAGCCAAAAGCTTCTGTGAAGAAGGTTGGCAGCTGGCTGTGCATGAAGCAAAACGAAGTGCACCAGTGCACCATGTCATGCCATGTCGGTTCTTCACATTCCTTCAATTCCATCACGTTCGCAGTTCACCAGTCTGATGGCACCATTTCCAAACTTTCAAAATGAATCGATGTCAACAAGAGTCAAGAGATATCCCTGTTCGACTGCTCAGGATGCCAAACTGAAGGCAAAAAATAAGGACAGCAAGGCCAGCAGATGGTTGTGGTCCTTTGGAGGGATGGAAACCTGCAGATACAAAGACAACTTCCCTCCCGGGAAAGTTCTTCAGATGATCTTCAGGAGGCTTATTCCCAAGGCTCTAAGGATCTCTAAGGACAGAACCCAAGGCGCTCAAGCAACGCCAGGAGAAGGACGGACAGAAAGCAACAGCTGAAAGGACACGGAATGATTGGAGGGGCGTGACCTGGAAACAGAATGAAACAGAGTCACGTGACACATGTTGGCTTTGAACCAATCTGGATCCATGGCAACCCATCCACAACTTGATCAGCTACCAGGTCATTCGCTTCCATTCCTGGCACCGCAGCTGTAGAAGGTTGGCCCAAGATGTATATGTTCCACCGGTTGCTGAGCTTGGTCACGATGATGTACAATGAGCATGACCAGCTCACCATGTGCTACTTGGTTACAACATGTCACAACGAAAAAGTCATCAAAAGTCGTTCGAAATGCATTGGCCTGCATTAAGTCCGAAAAATTTCCTCCCCGACAGCTGAGGCGATTTCGTCCGCCCCAAGCAGCGCCGGCAGATCCAACGGGACCGCACCAAGCGCCACGAGGACCGCGACCGCGAGGACCGCGAGGACCGCGAGGACGAGGAAAAGACGGACGAGGCGCCCGTTCCAAAAGCCAAAGCCGCCAAGGCCCGAGTTGTGAAACCGTGGGTTTTTGGTCATTCTTTCCATGAAAACATGAAAGCACTTTGTTTTTGTGGAAATCTATGATAATCTATGGAAATTCCATGTCTTTAATGGGAAAATCATCGATAGGGATCCAAGGTTATTTGAGGTAGGGTGGTTTTTCTCCATGGCATGAAGACGTAAAACATCAATATGGGACACCAGGATACACCAGGATAGACCAGGAGCCACTTGGAGAAAACATCATAAAACATCGGATAGACTTTACATCTCAAACTCATTGACCATCAAATAACATCAATATAGCAAACCATCCATTCTGATTTTGGGGCATGGGTGCTGTGCATGTGCGGATGATGTTGCACCATCTCATTGCTACTCCGAAAGGCAAAGCCCAAAGCCAAGGCAGCAGCATAGCCCCAGGTGACATGGTGGGCCATGGTGTGGCTGGGGAATGTTGTGAACAAACGCTGAACGCTTCAAGGCTGAGAAAAAAGCATCATAAGAAAATAAGGGAATGAGAAATGCTGGAATGAGGTACATCTTCGCACACGGTTCACATCTTCGTTTGTTACGAATTCACCGGTGCCAGCCCCAACGAGTCCAACAGCCACCGGTTTTACTGAGGTCCCTTCTCTTCCCTTCAGTGAAAGCGCGACTGGTTCTGACAGCGGCCTGCAACGGCTAAAGCCTTTCAACAACAAAAAATGATGCAAAACAGATGCAAACCAAAACACCGTGCCGCGTTTCCTCAGGGCAGGCCAGGCCGCATGAATTTGCCCATGGCAGAATCGAAGTGATGCGATGCTCTGATTTCTTAAACTTCGTTGGGGAGCGTGTCTCTTTAAGATGCTAGATGACTCTAGATAGATTCCTTAGATCTATATAGATGTGAAGATATGTGAAGTGTCCCGTTCGACAAGAGGGCGAGTCACTCAAAATAGCGGTAGCCAGAGACCCTGGTGAAATCGGGGAAGGTTCTCGAATGGAAAGCAATTAAGAGGTTTGCGCAGTACCAAAATTCTGAACGGCGTGCCATGACGTCAGCAGTTCGGCGTTGTTTTACTATTAAACATGTAGTTGGTTCCGAATAAAACGTGGGTTGTAGTTTGACTTGTTGCGCACACCCTTGATCCAACGTGGGTGTTCTCATCTGAATCAGACGCTCCAGGGTCAAAAAGAATCGATCATTCTGAGCAAATGGTCGTGCGGTTGATGCGGTTTACTCTGACTCTATCTGGCTGGTGGTTTAGAACATTTTTTATTTTCCCCAATAGTTGGGATGATGATCCAATCTGACGAACTCATATTTTTCAGGGTAGGCATACCACCAATTAGCGATGCTCATAGCAGTGGGAAGATTTGCATCCTGACCTTGGCAGGACTGAGAACAATTCAGGCCAGGAGCCCAGATTGCGGAGCGCATCGGCATCCATGGCCACGTGGCCTTGAGGCGCTGCGGCCTTGGCAGAACTTCTGGAGTGAGATGCCATGGCAGGTTGGAAACTATGGGAACACTTATATAAAAACTTAGGAACTGAGCTGGAAAATTGCTGAAGCTATCACTCTGCTATCTGGCTTTGGGAGAACAACATGTCTCAGATGTCAAGGGCTGAGCCATTGAAAAGTAACAGCCGTGACAACAGTCTGTTGAATTCTGTTCAGGTGTTTCCACAGAATTTCACATGGTTTCACTTTTGAAATTCTTTGACCCTGGACACCGCCAGGGACGCCTTGCAGATCTCTGTGAGCAGGATAGATTGGGCTCACGGATGAGTACCTTACATTGATGGTTTGTGCTGAGCACTCGTGGTGCTACAGGCTCGAAGCAAATGGGGTGGACCCAAAACTACCAGAGAGCTTGTATTCAACCGCTAAGTGAATATTGAAAGAACAGTTCTCTTGAAGCGTAGTCATGTGAGTTTCCACAACTTCAATCCAGCATTGAATGTTCAAGAAGCTTGCAGGGCACAAAGTCCATCCTGCTTATGAAAACACCTCATGTGTGGATGGAGAGCCTGTACATCACAGGACAGTGGTGTTTAGCACTTGGAATTTGCCATGGCTGTGGAGTACGTAATTCGATGTAATTCGGTCCTGGAGGTTTCTGGGCTTCCAGGATCTGGATTTGTCGTGATTAGTGACTTAAGTATGATAGGCATGTGATCCTTTCAAGGGACACGGAACGTCTCAATGACGACTGAAACATTTGTGGGTTCTGTTGGGCACTTCCACTGCAATGCCTGCATGGCACAGCAAAAACCAGAGACAGATGGCAACGTGGCAATGTGGCCTGGTTTTTTCACCAGAGCTCGTGCTACTCGTGGGCCTTGGCCCCTCCCTTCGCCAGCCTGCACAGATCAGAGGCCCTATCGGCTCTGAGGTTCAGTGAGCGCTCAAAGCAAGGGAAAGCTATGAGGATGATGCGACCCAGGAAAGGGTTGGTCAAGAATGTTAAAATAGTACACTGTGACACTGTATACTTCTATGAATACTGTATAGTCTGTATAGTGCTGTAGGCTCATTATCGTTCAACTTGTGGCATGCATTGCTAAGTGTTAGGCTTTCTGTTGAGTTGCGGTACACAGCCACCAGTGCTTTCGGAAAAATTCAGCCCGTGCAATTTTGTCACGGAAATGGCCGGATCATGCTGGATCATGCTGGATCACTCGTTGCCTCGTTCAAGTGATAAGAAAACAGACGTGACAGACATCCCTTGATGACTCGTCGATGACGTTTATCCCTTGATATCCCTTGGACCTGGCAGATGACGTGGTCCTGTCGGATCCTGTCGGATCCTGTCGGCACATCGCTTCTCCACAAGCGTGCCGAATCGTGCCGAGTTCCGTGCTCAGACTGGGCTCACAGCTGAGGCTGCTGGTGGTACTTGTCCACCGGCTTCAGCCCACCTGCTGACGGAAAATGAAGATCGACTGAGACTCTCCAAGACCTCACAGAAGCCTAGAATAGCCTGGAGATGCCTGGAGATGTTGCCCAAAGATGCCCAAAGTCTGCTTTGCCGGTGCACGATCAGTGACTTAGTGACTATCGATCTCATCGCTGTCTGCATCGCCGAAGTTTCAGCTCAGCTTATAGTAACACTCGGAGCATCCTGCACTGTTGCCTTACTGTGGCCATGCCAGCCCTTGTTGCGAGCTTAGACATGCCACGCCAGACTCAGCCTTTGCTGCTCTTGATAGCGTTGTTTGTCTTCGATGAGAATTTGATGCTCAGAGATTGTGACTCTGATTTTGGTGAACACGTTGTGGGCCACCCCATCCAAAGTACGCACCTAGGTTGTTCTTGTGGGACTGTTGCTGCATTTGGGTGGAGCTTGCCCAGCAGGATATGGAAAGCCAGTGCCACGGCAAATTGACGACAGACAATTTGATTCATGTCGATTCCTCCCGTGTTCAGCCACTTGTGGAAATGATTCCAAGTCAGGGCTTCTTCTTATGTATCACAATGGAACCACCACATCCTGGCTTAACACTCCACATTACTCCACAAAAAGACCTCAAATACAAAGGTAGAATTTGGTCGCCAGCGTTGCCGTACGCGTGAAGCCAGGTGAAAGGGAGTCCGTGCATGATTTGCCCCGAGGGCACCTGGAGCGCGAAAGGAACAGAACTTTGTAAAAGATGATCCTTGGCTGCCTTGGCTGTCAGGAAAGTCGAACCTCCAGCAGGTCAGGGAGTTTGGGTTGAACAACAGGACTCTGACTCAGGCATGTACGAGATCCTGAAACAAACGAAACATTTTGGACACAGCATTGATGCTGTATCCTGACATGGACCTTGGATGACCTTGGTGTGGCTCATTGTGGGTCACAATTGCTCATATATTGTTCCTGACATTTCCTGACTTCCTTCTAGAGTCGAGGCGCCGCTGGCACATGGAGTGACGAGCGGGGGCGAAGCAGCAAAGAGAGCTGCATCCACTGCCCTGCGGGGACGTGGAGTAGCCAAGTGGGCGCCATCTCTCCTGAGGCTCCATCAGAAACCGTGCTATGCCTGGCATTGCCACATTCAAATCGGGGGCCCTCTTCCTTGTCAGCTTTAAATATTTTAAATGATAAGTGCCATAAGTGCCCAGGCCTGCCAGAAGTGCCCAGCGGGATACTGGAGCAACAGGACTGGCATCGGCGCGATCGACAAGTGCACCCGATGCCCCGCCGGTACTTGGAGCTCTGCCAAGGGCGCTGGCAGTGAGTCGCACCCTTGGAGTCACGGATAGCATCGGCAATGGGTTTATGGATGTCTATGGAGTCTATGGGTCATTGATGTGAAGCCTTTAGAGTTGCTAGATCCTCTTGATCAACTTTAAACCTTCGGGATCCAAGATCCTTCGCATTACACGTGCAAGTCCTTTCTTCGTGACTTCCAATAAATATGAACCGGATGACAGGACCATTGAAGCGGGTTTATGTTTTTTGTGTGTGACACCGAGCTCAGGTCCGCATGCGTGAAATGTGCAAAGGGCAAATGGAGTCCACACGTCGCAGCCGTATCGGAGGAGGCAGAGGGACCAGTTCTGCTTCCCCTGAACAGTGCCATTGCATCCCCAAATTGCTGATGTCCAACAACAGGAAAATCCTTTCTGCAAAACATCCACAGCAGAACTGCAGTGCACCTGCTTTGTATATCAATACTTGGTATCTATGTGGAAGTTATGCCCACAAAAAGCGAGCATGGAGCTTTATTTGGCGTTCCCAAGTGTCGACGAACTTTGAAAACAAGCATCAGGTGTTCATATTATATAGTTGGGTGATTTGGCTGATCCGTCACTTTTGGAATTGGAATACGGAGTGGAACATGCCGGCTTTTCTGGCAAGGCGTGCGTGAGTTGCGATGCTGGCCGCTACAATCCCGAGGCTTCGAATCCTGAGAGCCTGGGAGGTGTGACTGCGGAACTTGGAGCCAAAGGCTGTAGGAAAACGTCCCGGGGTGTCCTGGAAGACGTTGGTCCGAACCGTTTGGTTGCTTCATGGATTGATGGATGTTCAAGGTCTGATTCTAAACAGCATTTGGGACATGGGTATGGGTCAATACCTATAGATACATCTTTAGTGGGATGAACATCCATTTACCAGCTATTTTGATGTTCATCAGGGGTACAAGGTTTTGACACACTGCCACATGGAGGAACAAAGGCGACTCGAGTTCTTTCTCATTGAATTACATTGAATTAGCCATGGCTGGTGAGAAAGTTGTGTAAACACTGATGTGATTCAAGGCGACTCGCAGTTTTCGGAAGGATCTAGCTGCCAATTCCTACTTCATACTTGGAGTATCCTATCAGTATCCTATAAGTATCCTATGGTTCTGCGCAGGAGGGGGCAGGTCTACCATCCCACTGCCGACCATGCCCCGCGGGCACTTGGAGTGATGCTATCTCTGCTCGCAGCAGTGAGGAGCGGCTGGTTGAAAAACTCCAAATGTTCAAACAATCGATTGATGTCATGCTCATCTTTCTCCCACGTTAGACTGGCCATTTGTTCAGAAATTTCGGAAGGCAAGTTGACTTTCACATTGGGCAGGTGTGCCAACCTTGTCCTGCTGGCAGCTTCAGCCCCGGCTTGGGAGCCTTCTCGCAGAAAGCCTGCGCCAAGCAACTTCGGCTGCACAAGTCGAAGTTGGAGACCCAACGTCAACCCGTTGAAGCGCGAGCCAATGCGCGCCATTTGATGTCAACAGGTTTGTTGGAACTGAGGATGGTGAGCCATCGGTCACTTTTGGGGGTTCCCAAATGGGTCCATTCAACTCGGGTTAAACAGCACGGTCAGATCCATTGCCAAAACTGGCTGCCTCATACCACCTAGTCAAATCAAATCATCCAAAAAATATCGCCCACCGCTTGTTGAAATGTGGTTTGGCTGGCCGTTTTCCAGTCCTAGAGGTGATGATCACCAGTTGACTTATTGGGCAACATGTGTAACACATTGATACAGTAAGATGTTTCAGGTGAGTTGAGACATGTTGAGACATGTTGAGACTATCCCCCACTCCAAGTGCCACCCGATTTGCTACCCGAGGTGTTCAGCTGGAACCTGGAGCGACACCATTGGAGCCTCCAGCCACAAGAGTTGCCAGACCTGCCCCATCGGCAGCTACAGCGATGTCCCAGGCATGTGCACCGTGTGCACCATGTTTCCCAAGAAATGTGCCAAATTCGAATGTGGAATGTTGATGAATGATATATGAATGTTGCTTGGATGTTTGCATTGTTTGGTAGAAGCAAAAGGGTTGCCATCAAAAGCTGATTAGGGCACGGCCGGAGCTACTAGACAAACATGACTGCAAGATACTGCAAGCACTTAGAACTTGGAACCATCGATTGGCTGTGCAGTTCATTCGCTGGTGGTTTCAACATGATATGTGTCAACTGCATTTAAGTTTGTGGTATTTAAAAGTGTTGAGGATGTTTAAAACCACATTAAACAATCATTAAACCACATTAAACCACAAGAATCAGATGGTGCCAACTCTGCAGGTGCCAACTCCTCCAAGACCTGCGCGGCGTGCAGGAAGGGCACATATCAACCCATCCGGGGAGCCACCTGGAAGCAGCAGCACCTGCAACCCCGTTGTTTCCTGTTTAACAACTTATTTCCTGTTGGTATATGTTGGTATATGTTGATCCATGTTGATCGTTGCTGCGTGTGTGGTTGGAGACACGTTTCATCTAAACTGAGCACTGTCAAACGTTGGTCCCTTCAAATCCGAAGAGGCAGTTGCATGATGAAGAATACGGGATGACATGGGATTGCAAAAAGTGCGAAACATTGCATTCAACACGTTCGTGTCTTTTCCCGTCACATGCGTGTGTTTGGCACATCAGGCTGCAGAAGAGGCACTGTGTATTCCTTGCGCGGTGGGGAACTACAGCAACAAGATCGGCCAGGCGGCCTGTCACTACTGCCCCAAAGGCTCGCACTGAGTTGCACCTGCCATTCTCGCTGTGCCTCCATGCCGGAAATGAAATGTGCTTCCAGCTATCAAAGGGCGAGATTTGACCAATTATACTCAAGAAACGCTCAGTATGGCTATGTAATGCTATGCATAGCTTCTTCACCCTGGAACTTTATAGATTTCAGTAGCCTGTGATTTTTAGTTGATCACTTTAGATATCAGTGATATCCTGCTGAAGCAGCTTGCAGGTTCATATGGCGACGGCTTTGGGTTGACATCCTGCAGGGCATGCCCTGAAGGTACCTCCACGTATCAGCACGGTGCCATTCGTGCAGAATTATGTTTGGCGTCCCTTGGCCAATTTGCATCCAATTTTTGCATCATCTGTTGATTTATTTCTAAGATTTATTGATCACATGATATCACACTCTGGAAGTGTCTACTGAACCTATACACTTTACACATTTCCTCTATGTTCGTTTGGTCCTTTGTGTTTAATTTGGGTTCCCGGTGTTTCTATGTTCGGCAGAATCTAAGGATGCCTTCTGAGTCCACGGTGTTTCCCTGAGGTTCCCGCGTTTTCTCGCTTCCGAAGTCCTCCATGTTTCATCGGTTTCATGTCATGTAAAGCTTCGCTTAAAGTTTAAAGCTTCGCGTGTCCGGTGAACATTGGTAACATGACAACAGATACAACAGGATTTCGGATGCAGTAGGCTTTCATAGGATTTCATAGGCTTTCTTGAGCGAATTGTTTTTCTGCTTGGTGCACAAGAATCACCAAGAGCACAGAGAATCTATCCGGATTTTTGCACGGGCACTCCGAATTCGAGGGGGCTATGGAACGACATTGGACATTCCGTGACATTCCCCTTATTACCAACTGCTCCGGGAAGGTGTCAGCTGGCCACAGTTTGCACTGGAGCCGCCAGTTTTGCGACCTTTTGCACACGCACTGAAGTTGCGTTGGCGAATGTACAGGAATTTGCGGATCCAGAGAGATTTAGGCAACAGATCAAACCAGATCAAAAAGAGATGAGAAGGGGTTGTTTGGGAAGATGGTCTCATGAAGAGAGCGCCCTAGCTTACCCTGCCTATCTTGAAGAGATAGAATCTAGAATGCAATGACAATTCTACATAATAGTGCAAAAAGTCTGGCCACATCGACAAACATACGCGGCAATCTAGTCAAACACAATCAACTTGAAAATCCAAAGCAAAGAAAAATCATTCTTTGGAGAATGGTCCAAAAACCAGTGATCATCAGTGATCATTTGGTTAGGAAAATGCACCACCTACTCTTTGTGGATCTTTGTGAATCTTTTTTGCGCCGCAGCGTTGATCCTCCAGTGCCATGGCGATGGCCACGATGGCCACGATGGCGACGGCTCCAGGAGCCCACCCGGTCCACATTCCAACGAGCATCGCGCACATCGCGCCGTCCTTAGGATGGGATTCTTTGCTGATTTGGAGAGTACGACATAGTAAGACAAACTCTTAAGATTTATGTGATTATAATATATATCGATATGTAATGATATTATATATATATATATTATTGTGGTGCAGTACTTCATGTTAAACTGTTTATCCGTGTTTATCATACTTGTTGGCTGAGAGATTCTTTCCATTTACCACCATAACCTTCCATGGGCCCATAGTGACATTAGAAGATCCACCAGGCCCAGGGCCGCGCCATTGCTGTCCATGTCGTGTTCTCGGTTCATGTTTGTCGGCTGTGACTGAGCACAGGTTGAGATGGTTGAGATGGTTGAGATTGAGTCAAATATTTCAGAATATTTCCGAAGAATCCCTTATTTCAGAATATTTCCGAATGTCTTCGACTAATTTTCGACTATTCAGTCTCCTTCTTTGGGAATTTTGGTGAAGGCCCTGGTCTGCCATCCATCAGGCTCCAGTGGCTCGTGCAATTCCTGCAGCTCGTGCAGGCTGGAGACGTTGCCAACCATTGGCGAAAACCCAGGGTCCGTGAATTGGGACACATCGGAAACAAGTGATGTAGATATATCTTGTAGATATAAATATGTTCGGTATAGGAAATAGACATTTTGAGAGAAGTGAGCGTGTTTGCAGTGGTGTTTACAAATGTGATCAAATGTGTGTTTCTGCATCTATTCGATTCACACTGTCTTTTATGGGTGTCTTGATAGTGCATTAATGTCCATGTTGACTTGCCAGACAAGCGGTTGAAGCCAAGCATGCCTCACAAGAACATGTCAGAAACAACCATCGGCATCAACGGGCATCTGCAAAATTAGCAGCTCCGGGCACTGTTTTCCAAAAAATCTATGAAGGGGCGTGTGAAATCATGAGAACTCAACAACTCGGAGTCCCTGACGAGAACTTCTTGGCAGTTGGTCCAGGTGCTTCAGCCGCCAGCTCCTTCCTCAGATGACTCAGGAAGGGCTGGCAAGCTATTCCTCCAGCATCACTGCGGGAAGCTGTCAAGCCTGTCCTGAACAAGTGAATAACGATGATTTTGTTATATATTACGAGAATCAGCAACGTAATTCTGCCAAGGTGCCACAAAATGCCAGAAATAGGCTGTTCAAATGATATGGATGTTCTGCCGTAAGCTGCGTCTCATGGTATGTTCAGTTTCGAGGAAATTGAGATCACCATGTCATGATCCGTCATGCCCTCGCCATAGCCATTTGAGAGATCCGTTCAACTGTCGCCGCCCAATGGAGTCGCATAGCCCCAGTTCGGTGGCTGGAGCCAGTCCCAACAGCTGCTTGACTCAGAGTAGAAACGGAACTTGAATCGCTTGGAAAATGTTGATAAACTTATATGATAATATATGATAACAATATGATAATATATGATAAATATATGATAATATATGATAATTGTTTGGAAAACATTGGAAACCACATTTAAAATCATGTGTTTTGTTTCAGCTCACTTTCTGGACTGCTGCATCGATAAATCAGATGTTTCAACTGCAACCCATCTCAAAGTTAGCGCGAACAGACGAGCGTCTCACATTTCGTTGGACAGCAAATGTCCTTCAAAAAGTTCCAAATCTGTTGGCCAATGCGGTTTATGCATGTTCAATCATGTTCAATCATGTTCATGCGCCAGGTTCTGAAAGTGCTGGAACCACCTGTTTGCCCTCGGCCTGCGACAAGGATTGCAAGCCTTGCCTTTGGTTTTGCAAGCCGCAGGGCTGTCGAAATGGAGTGGATTGCTCCTCGCCTTGAAGCATTGCAAGAATTCAGCAGGATCACTACATTGCTGTGCTAAGGCTCATTCTGCCACATTTGTGAACCACAAAGGAAGACTGAGGAGTCAAAGAAGACTGAGGACTATGAGCGGATCACGGAACTTGCGGCAATTTCAGACCAGGGTGAACTAAGTCTACTAGGCACTACTGCGTGGCCTTCAAACGTTGGAAGCCAGACAAATTCAGGGGATATTCAGGTTGTCCCGTGACTTGTTTCCAGGACGCACTGCTCATGTCCCCGAAGTACGTGGAACTGTCCAACGGGTCACGGTCGCGTCTGAGCGGCATCCAAGACTTTTGGCCTCACCAAGCCTCACCTGGGACACAAAGCTAGGATAAAATGGATAAAATGGATAAAGATATGGAAAGATATGGACCTGATATGGTCAGCTTTGCAGGGTTTGCATCCGATTCTGAGGCACCCAGACGCTTGCAAGCCCTGTGCATGGTTTTGGCATCACAAGGGCTGCCAAAGCGGTGTGGACTGCGAATTTTGTCATCTCTGTCCCAGGGGTGAACTCAAAGCGCGGCAGCAACGTCAGAGAGAACTGAAGACAGTACCGCGTGACTTGATCGATCACTGAATCGAAGAGACACTGCATAGGGGCATAGGTTTGTTCAAGGACGTCAATATGAAAATACTATGGAAATGAAGGTGTTCGAATGCGTTTCTCGTCATTTCAAGCCATTTGTGCAGCTATGGCATGATCGGCTCACCTTTTGTCGAGGTGGCGAGAGCAAAGCGTGGGACGAAGTGCCATGCGAGACAGCGCAGAGTGAGGACACACAAAGTAACATACACTTCATATCACTTCATCATCTTCATCTTCATCAAGGGCTATCACTTGTGCATCTTGAAGGGCTCTTGTGCACACTTAGGGGAGACTTTTCTCACACTTTCCCATCATTTTCTGCACGGCGAAAGTCGATTCGAGCCCAGGAGATTTGGCAAGACTTCAGTGACTTCAGTGGCCTCAGCTCCCCGCCACGGGATATTCAGAAATCTGATGTTTAGGGATAGAGCCAGCAAAGCCATTTGTCGATCTTGGATTTCACCATCAGTTTCACCATCAGTTTCATATATTTTGTCGACAATATAACATATGTTTCCAATTGTTTCCATGGTTTGAAGTTGAGAATCGAGGTCCGCTTCCATCAGTGGGTTCAGCTGCCCACAGCACTGGAGAGTGCAGACCCTGTGCATGGCATCATGGCGAGAGATTGGGCGAGGGCGATGGAAGTTCAGTGTTTCCTGTGTAGATTGAATGCACTGATAATGAATGATAATGAGTGTACATCATTGCACGTACGTTGAATGTACATTGTGCCATTTTTTAAATTTCACCATTTTACCGGTGCCCTTTGTTTCTGAAATTGTCACATCCGCGTGTGGATGGGGTGGTTGTTATTATATAGTTTCTTTGTTTTTCAGCGTCAGCTTCACATCAGAAGCTGAGGTTTTGGAAGGAGGGCGGCTGCAAGAACGGCAAGGATTGCAGACATTGCCACCTGTGCCCTGAGGGCGAAATTCGGCACCGGAAGAAGCTGAAACAGGAGCGGAAAGACATGGCACTGTCGTTTGTTCAGTCTGTTCACATTGTGCGACTCACCATATCTCACCATCTTTGCAAACTTTGCAAAAGGCTTCAACCTGCTTGCATCTGCAAAGGCAGCTTTGTAGCAGGTTCTTTCAGTGGGTTGCAGACTGAAGGGAGTAGCATGAAGGATCTGAAAGGCTCCAACTCCAGGATTTTGGACCGATAAAAAACCAGATAGGAACACGTTGAAAAACCGATTAAAAACGGGTTATAAAGTTTAAATATTCACAACCTGCAGGAAGGAATGAAAGCAATGCTGAGAAGTCAGGGCAATGCCAGCAGTGCCTGGGCTGCGAACTGCCTCATCTCACAGCCCTGCAGGAGATCAAAATGAGATCAAATACACAGCAAAATAATAAGAAAATAATGAGAAAGATGAGAAAGATGAGAAAGTTCAGTTTTTGTTCAAGAGTTCCTTTTCGTTGCCTACACATTTTTCTGATAGCACTCGTGTTCCTGTCCTCAGGTGCTTTGCACCAGGATCTACAGATGCAGCTATTTCATCAATGGACATGGCCTCAGAGTCACTGTGGAAATTTGATGCCAGTAGATTCGTAGATAGTCTCATGGTGTGCAACAGGATGTTGGAAGCTTGTTGTTTCTTGCCCGGCTCAGGCAAGCACATATGTTTGCAGCCAATATGATTCAATCATCCATGGCAACTCGGAGACGCAGTGGGTTTCACATGGTTTCACTATGTCTCTCTGATTGCACATGGATTTGGTCCTGTTGCGGTGCAGCTAAGGAGTCCCTATCACTAGATGGTTATCCAAGCTAACCTGAACGTGAAAGGAGCTTCATGGATACTTTTGGCTCTTTTCAAAGCCCGGCAGCAGCGGAAAGTGGTGTCGTTTAAAACGACGCCCAGATAAGACTCGCTGGGATGTATAGTACAGCAGTACAGCTTTTTGGGAAGGTGTCCTCTTTCAGCTGGGAACAGAGGTCAATAAGTTAAACGTAGAAGTAGATTGTTACAAATTGTTTGAGTTTTTGAGCCTCGACAATGACTCGTTTGACGGAGGACTCTGCTTCGTAGTTCGTTCACAGAGCCTTGCACGGCTCAAGTCATTTGTGACGCAGGGGTGACTGGGAAACACCAGTGCCTGTTTTTCCCTTGTGCAGTGCGAGGATTGCCGATGCGCAAAAGCATCAGAGACATGTGTGTTCAGATGTGTTCAGGTGCACATGCGTCATTTTGGCATGAGCCAGCACTTCGCACTCGATGATCATTTATATCATTTATTATACCATTCTGATCTTTCTTACCTGTCATCGTATATGATGTTACCATATGTTACCTCTGTTTTATTCTGTGTCAGATGTGGTTGACGTGTTGACTTCACCCGGATGCCGAATCCGAGGCACAGCCTTTGGTGCTTTTGGTGCTGCTGTAGCTGGAGCTGGAGCTGTGCTGGCCAGTCAGGCCTCGTGGCGTTCAACTTCGCAGTTTCAATGGTTTGGTCATGGGAACTAATATGGGAACTATGAGACAATCAAAAGAGCTGGTGAGATGGAGAAAATTGGAGAAAGCCAATTGAGTTTGGATCAGGTCCTAAGTAGGGAGGGTCTGAATTTTGGCTCGCTCGCCATGCAGTTTCTTCACCAGCCTCTATCGCAGGTGGAGCATTCGACTGTAAATGGTACCTCAAGAACCCTTGTCCCTTGACAGGCCCGGGCAAAGACCCGCTCGCGTGCTGCTCGGGTTGCATGTGCTGCTGCTGGCCGAAAGCTCCTTGGCAGCAAACGTCATGGGAGTTCAAATTGCAAGTCATGCACATCTGTGTCATCTGTGTCATGTGTGTCAGTTCTACCTCCAGACTTTCGTTGCACACAGGGCAAATTCTGAGCCCATTTGCCAAGGCGGATTTTGGTCATGGGCGGCACCCGCTTCATCGGTTGCTACCTCGTAGCGAAGCTACGGGAGATGGGCCACAGCGTGGTGCCACGGCTGAGATGGAACGGTTGCCGATCATGGATCATTCCTGCCGGGTGTGGGCAACCTGGCGGATTTGAACAGCTTAAACAAATGATAATATGATTCATATGATTCAATATGATTCATATGTGTGAGCTTCATGAAAAACGGCTTTCAACAAGGATCAGTGCTTTGCTCAAACTAACGTTTCTTGTTCTTGCACGAAGTATGCACTCACAACCTCTTTTTGTTGCATGCAAGAACACGTGCCGCACGTGTCACTCAGGTGGTGTGCAACCGTGGAAGAACCAACGGCGGCAAACCAGAAACCTAGCTGCATACAAGAGATAGATGCCACTTGATATATTTAGGCAGACATTTGTATGGAAATGATGAAATATGTTCAATTAGATATATATGTTTGCAGTTTTGTCTCTTTGCATTTGCATGTTTGTGGATGCGCGCCTGTGGATACGTTCAAGATCGTTCAAGACTTTTATGCGACTTTCACCTAGGAACGATTGCCCGGAGTGAGCGACGCTGAGTACCAAACGATGTTGGAGGTCAAACTGGAACCACAAGTGCTACTACTGATTACTGTCAGACAAGCTATGGATTTATGAATCGGGTGAGGCTTTAAGCGTGACATATGCGTGACACTCAATGACACTTGCCGTTGTCTACCAGGGCGTCACTGTCCTCAATGCGGATCGAAAGCAGCCGGATCAATTGAAGAGGGCCATCGCAGCAGCCACTGAGACTGTAGCATGTTGCACCATGTGGCATCAGGGGACGATGAACCATCCATGAAGCGTGCATTGGTGTGAATCATGAGCATGTGTAGAGATATGTAAAGATGTTTCGAGTAGCCAATCCTGGATCCACTTGAAGTCAAATGGTTGCCTTTGATTCTGATGTTTCTAACATGTTGATGGGACGAGACGACTTTTGCCAAAGATTCTGCGACGTGCAGGGATTGTCAGCTATGAAAGTACTGCCTCCAAGGCTGGCAAATTTGATGTCGTCTTTGACAACAACGTGAGGAAACTGGAGGAGATTCAGCCTGTGGTCCAAGGAATCAAGGCCCGGCAGAACTTGACACAGCTGCCCCTGCTGCCCCTGCCCCCCATCTTGCGACAGGCCAAGGGAGGATGCGAACAGTTCATTATGATGAGCAGTGCAGGTGTCTATGGACCCACCGAATCTCGTTACAAAGTTTGTTGCACAGTTCTAGGACGCACACCATTTTATACCAGGTTTGCATAATTTTGCATTTGTTGATCGGTTTTATATCGTTTTATCACCCTTTACAACACCTATCGCCGCCTCTCAGGACGTATTGCCTCTCAACGAGATGACTCCAGGAGACCCCAACTCTCGCCACAAGGCTTGGACACTTTGAAGAGTCACAGGGCCACAGCGGTTCTGAATCAGGTTTGGATCATGTTGGATAATTTTTAAGTGGAGTTGATCTGGGAACATCTGTGATTTTCAGAACTTTGTTGTATATGATTTGGCCATGCTATGAAATAGGCACAGCCCATGGCAAGTTCACTCGTGAGGATAAGCTGGCTTGCGAGAAATACCTGGAGTCAGAGGGGCTGAACTGGACTTCTATTCGCCCTGTGTACATTTATGGACTCTCGGATGTTTGTGATACGAAGTAATTTGGTAACACATGGTGCATGATAGCTCTTCCTCGGCGTGAGAATACACCATTGCGCCGCTATGTCGCACCCAGGACCATTGAATTACAATCCAGTAGAGCGCTACTTCTTCGACCGTGTGACACGGGGTCGGCCGGTCTGCGTGCCATACGGTGGGAAGTACATTACGCAACTTGGCCACTGCGAAGACTTGGCGGATTTCATGGCCAAATGCGTCGGCAACGGCGTGCCTTCACTGCAACTTAGTGGTGACACCGGTTAATAATGTTGAATAATGTTGAATATGTTGAATAATGTTGAATAATGTTGAATATGTGCATATGTAGCAGACCTCGCCCGAGAACTAAGTTGTTTTAATTGCGAGTTGTGTGCTTGTGTTGTACTTATGATCATTCATGATCATTCTGTGCGGTGAGGCTGTTCGAGGTCAGGTGTACAACGTATCAAGTCAGGACCGGGTTTGGATCCGCTTTGGTTTGACTTGCAGCGGACTGCCGCCATGTTTGGCCCAGTTGGTGTGCTCGCTATCCTTTTTTTGATCACAGGAGTATGTGACCTTCGACGGCATGGCGAAGGTTTGCGCAGAGGCGGCTGGCATTTCTGATCCGCAGATCGTGCACTATGACCCGAAGAGTGTGGAGGTACCAACCGGGGCTTGGTGGGGCGGTTTTGAAACAATCATTAGCACAAGACCACGCTCCTTGATTCTCTATATAGGGGGTGAACATCACAATGATCCTTATTGTTTTATTGTATATGAGGCAGAGCTTGATCACGGCCACTGAAGTGGTCTTCGTGTCGAATTCAGCATAGTGTGGGTTATTTCTCGGATTGCAGTGGGTATAATAGAAGCATTCCATTGCGTCATAGGTGACAGGTGACACATGGTGACACAAAACGGTCGCAGGTGCCCGAAGGCTTTCCAAAAGCCTTTCCTTTCCGTGGGATGCACTTCTTCGCCTCCATTGAGAAGGCCGCAGAAAAATTGTCACAGCGACCTTGGCATCCTTGGCCTTGTTTCATGGCAATGTATTGATATACATATATATATATATTGATATTGTGATGAGTATGGCATAGTATGGCATAGCATACAATAGGCACTATAGATGGACAGTGATGGACAGTGTTTGCATATGCGCATTTGAGACATGTCAAGCTTTTCATCACTTAAATCCAACAGCTGGCCGGCTGGCACTTGATTTTGCAGAGGCCAAGCGTCACATTCCAAGCTGGAAGCCCAAGTACAACATGTCTCTTGGCCCAGTGGAGCTTCATGGAGCTTCCTTTTCGAAGAGTTCAGAATTCTGAGTCCTTAACTGCAGCATTGCGTGATGCTGTGTGCATGCCGGAGCCTGTGACAGGCTGGAGGGCCTTCGAAGTTCATATGTGCCTCGGTTCGAAGCCTCGAAGCCTCGAATTCTGTGCTAATTCTGCTAATTTAACTGCGTTTTTCATGGACACCACTCCAAGGAGTAAGAAGGGAATGTGTGCAATGCTGTGACAACATCCATCATATTTTGAACTGCCAAGGAGCAAGATTATTTGGCTCGAGGCTTTGACAAGAAAGATCCCGATTTCAGAACGGACGACTTGATCCTACAGAAGGACTGATCCTGAAGCTCGCTTTGTTCTGATTCGTTCAGTTTCCATCAGTTTCCTGTGGCATCCGTCGCCCAATTTTTTCTTAGTTGGGACATTTTTGAAAGAAGTCGAACAGTTCGACCTCTAGGCTGAGAGAGGGCATCCTTGGGACAGAACGCGGTTTCCGCAAAAGAAACAGTTGCCGTGCCACTGACCAACATTACCCAACCTGGTGTGATAACTAACCTGGTGTGATTCCTTTTGGATTTCATAAATGATGCATTCTAAATAAACTTTTGGAAAACTGATGTTTACCCTGTCACTGCTTGGTTCTTCAGAATCCTTCCCATACCAATCGGCCATGGCCAGGCAGGTGTTCCAGTTGGCTCCTCCAAGTCTGGTGGTTCCAGTGGTTCCAATGGCGCGGTGAGATACGGCCAGGGTTTCAGCTATTCGTATCCGCGAGATGCCTATGCAGATTTGGAGTATGGAAATGATGTGGGTTACTTACCTGATGGTACTCCCATGAACGCTGCTGGCAATGCCATGAATCATCCTGAGACAATTCCTCCTGATCCACACTCACCGGGATCACCTCTGCCGAGAGCCAATTTTGTGAATGACGTGGGCTATTTGCCCGATGGAACACCATTGAACAAGGCGGGCAACGCCATGAATCATCCGGAGAACATTGCACCAGATCCCCATTCACCAGGCTCAGCTCTTCCTGAGTCAGTCTATGCTGCAAGTGTTGGCTACTTCGTTGATGGCACACCCGTGGCCATGGCTGGGAACAACTCCGTTCCGCGATAGCCCAATTTTTAGATGCCCTCATGGCAGCATGGAGCAGCATGGAGCAGCATGACCTTTATCGATTTCTATATCCTCTTGGCTTGGCAGAGGCAGGCTTTCAGCTGTGGAGGTAGGTGGAGGTTGGAAACTGACATTTCAACTTGTCATGACTTATCAGCAATTTTGACCGCATCATTTTTGGGATAGATTTGGAGGGCGCTGTGGTGCAAAAGCATGCGCTTGCGGACTGTTGTTTCCTATTTTGCATATGAAATTCCATGGCCCAGGTCAATTCAACATTGGCCCTGCTCCGTGACAAATCACTTGTCCACACAGACCAGAATCGCAGAAAGCGACGCTTAATTTTCCATCGACCGACACAAAAACAAGTGCGGATATATGCGGATATGCAGGTAGTTCTGGAAGGCGGGTGGTATCCGTTTTATTCATACCAGCTGCAGTGAAGTTACAAATCGTTGCATATGATTCAGGTGGCAGCTTCCAGCTGCAGGTGATCCTCTTGTAATTTGTGTTCCAGCTGCACAGGTCCAGTGCGTTTCATTCTGAATCCAAATCAATGGTGACCAACTCCAACTGTTCATTTTATCGCTATAGCTCCATTATGTTATATTTATTTCCGATTAAAAAAACAGAAATGTCAAGTGCATCCAGCAAAAGCGAATAGCTGCATGGAGCCGTGTGACCCATGCGCTGCTGCCGTCAGAACAAGCTGGGGACCTAGCTGGGACCTACAACAAGTAGCAGCTGTGGCAAGCAGCTGCCATTTGAAAAACACAATTCAACAAGCGACAACATCGTGGCAAACATCTACCAAATTCGGCATGTCAAGCGTTTTTTTGGTGAAATTTGTCGCAGGTATGGCTACCGAGGAGGAGTTGTGCAAGGTGTGGTGGTACATGGCGGCATGGATGTTTCTCTTCAGTAGTGTATATTCGAAGGAAGTTTAGAAGTCAAACTTCCGACAATATGGACAGATGAAAAGCAGAGATGGGAAGAGCCAGAGAAGAGAAGAGAAGAAGAAAGAAGACCAGAAGAGAGAAAGTCTCAGAAGAAAGAAGATCCAGGCGCGCGAAAAAGGTAGAAAAGTCGCGAAACACGATGTTTTCCAATGATTTGTGGCTCCGGAGGGTCGCCAAGTAGGCTCGCTAAAGCGGCGGGTGCGGAGCCATGTGGCCAGATGAGAGATGAAAAGTTGCACGCTTTTGTGGCGCGAAGCACAATTCCAAGTCAAAATGCGCAAAACACACCAGGGCCGGATTATTATAGTTATTTTCGTTTGATGAAATTCCTTCCGAACCACCAAGGCAAGTTTGATGACTTAGATGCTCATCTCTCACGTAACACTGGAGCGGACTTGCCAATGCCCAAACGTCCAGTGGCACGGCCAAGGGCTGCCCAGTGATATTCCGCAATCTAAAACCCTCCACGGTATAGATTGGTTGAATTTTGATGAATTTTGTAATTCTCATATTTTCCCATCAGTGTCATCAATGTGGTATCTTGAATCACGTTGAGAGGACCATGGAGGACAATGGAGGACCATGACCATAGCGACCTGAGGCCAGGGCTTCCAGAGTTTGAGTCTCAGGGGAAGCTTGTACGGGAAGAGTAGGTTGGAGAATGTCCCGCGAAAACCTGCCCTAAACCTAAGGGAAATTGAAAGTGAAGAGTGTGGTCAAAAACTTTGCGCCATCCTGCTTTTAGCAAGAGGGTCATCACATGCGGTTGCTTGCGATTGGATCCAAACAACAATAGTAAGAATACCAGTAGTACCGCACAAGGCGGTGGCGGAAGTTTCAGAATAGGAAACTCATAGGAGAGCTTGGTTGCTGCGAATCACTGATGGCAGAGCGAATCCACTGATGGACTGAAAGGTGGTTGGAGCTGTCGATTTTGGACTCGTTACAATGGTTGCAGTGGTCACCTGGTCGGTCACCTCACCCACAACTGCTGGATGTAGTGTGGTGTAGCGCAGCTGTGGTTGTAGTTGTAGTGTGGTGGAGTTGTAGTTGCGGTGTAATGTAATTAGTTAGCGTAGTGTAGTTGCAGTTGCATTTTGTGGTGGTGTAATGAGTGTAGTGTAATGTAGGGTAGTGTGGCGTAGTCTAGTGTAGTGTAGTGTAAAGTAGCGTAGTTGCAGTTGTAGCTGTAGTTGCAGTTAGTGTCAGTGTAGTGTAGTGTGGTGCGGTGTAGTGTAGTGTAGTGTAGTGTGGTGCAGTGTATAGTTGTAGTCGTAGTTGTAGCTGTAGTTGTAGTTGTAGTTGGTGGTGTTCTTGTTCTTCTTGTTCTTCTTGTTCTTCTTGTTCTTCTTGTTCTTCGTGTTCTTCTTGTTCTTCTTCTTCTTCTTATTCTTCTTCTTCTTGTTGTTGCTATTGCTATTGCTATTGCTGTTGCTGTTTCTGTGGCTGTTGCGGTTGCTGTTGCTGTTGTTGTTGGTGGTGGTGTTGTTGGTGTTGTTGGTGTTGTTGGTGTTGTTGGTGTTGTTGGTGTTGTTGGTGTTGTTGGTGTTGTTGGTGTTGTTGGTGTTGTTGTTGTTGGTTGTTGTTTTGTTGGTGTTGTTGGTGTTGTTGGTGTTGTTGGTGTTGTTGGTGTTGTTGGTGTTGTTGGTGTTGTTGGTGTTGTTGGTGTTGTTGGTGTTGTTGGTGTTGTTGGTGTTGTTGGTGTTGTTGGTGTTGTTGGTGTTGGTGGTGTTGGTGGTGTTGGTGTTGTTGGTGTTGTTGGTGTTGTTGGTGTTGTTGGTGTTGTTGGTGTTGTTGGTGTTGTTGGTGTTGTTGGTGTTGATGGTGTTGGTGTTGGTGTGGTGTGGTGTGATGTAGCGTAGTGTAGTGTAGTGTAATGTAGTGAAGTGTGGTGGAAGGTGGCGTAGTGTAGTGTAGCGTCATGTTGTGTAGTGTAATTAGCGTAGTGTAGTGTGGTGTAGTGTAGTTGTAGTTGTCGTTGTAGTTGTAGTTGTCCGTCTAGTTCTACTTGCAGTTGTAGCTGTAGTTAGTGTAGTGTAGTGTAGTGTAGCGTAGTGTAGCGTAGCGTAGCGTAGTGTAGTGTAGTGTAGTCCAGTGCAGTGCAGTGTAGTGTAGTGTGGTGTAGTGTAGTGTATGTAGGGTAGGGTAGGGTAGTGTAGTGTAGTGTAGTGACTTAGTGTGGTGTAGTGTAGCGTTGTATAATGTAATGAGTGTAGTGTGATGAAAAAAGTGTAGTGTAATGTAGTGTAGTTGTAGTTCTTGTATTTGGTCTAGTGTAATTGGGTGTAGTGTTGTGAAGTGGAGTGTAGTGCAGTGTAGTGTAGTGTAATTAGTGTAGTGTAATGTAGTTGTAGTTGTGGTGGAGTTGAGTGTAGTGCAGTGCGGTGTAGCGTAGTGTAATGTAGTGTAGTTGTAGTTGTAGTTGTCGCGTAGTGGAGCGTACTGTAGTGTAGCTGTTGTAGTCGAAACTGCTACAAAACTTTCACGTTTTAGTCACCTTGGCAAGGTGCAGAATCCCTTGTGCCTGCCACTCAAAACGACATCCAAAAGTCCAAAAGTGCTCCTAACCCCACAGCTTTTCCACTTTTGACTTCGAAATGTGCTTCGCGCCACAACAGCGTGCACTTTTTCCACATCTCAACTTCCAAAAGTGGTCCGGAGCTGGTGTGCTTTGTACATTTTGACTTGGAAATGTGCTTCGCGCCACAACGGCGTGCACTTTTTCAACACCTCAACTTCCAAAAGTCGCCCGAACATGAGGTGTTTTTTACATGTTGACTTCCAAATGTGCTTCGTGCCACAAAGGCGTGCAATTGTTCATCTCTCATCTGGCCAGATGGCTCCACACACGCCGCTTTAGCGAGCCTACTTTTCGACCCTCCGGGGCCACCAATCATTGGAAAAACACAGTGATTCGCGACGTTTCTACCTTTTTCGCGCACCTGCATCTTCTTTCTTCTGACTCTTTCCCTTCTCTGATCTTCTCTCTTCTTCCCTTCTCCTCTCTGGCTCTTCCCACCTCTGCTTTTCCATCTGTCCACATTGTCGGAAGTTTGACTTCTAAATTTCCCTCGATGATAGAATATGTAAGCATGTAATGATATGTAACGGATCCCCTTTTACTTGTGATATGGTTTGACAGCAAGCGACGTAGCTGTTTCGGCTCGGTCGATGAAGGTCATCCCGAAGCTAAGTTTGGAACTCGTCCAACGACTCCGCATCAACCAGCAGATCGGACGAGCGTCACCAGCAAAGATCCTTTCACTATGTGAAGCGCCTGGGGTTCAAAAAGGTTTAGACCACTTTGGATCTGTTTTCTTGCGTTTTTTCAGAATGTTATGTAAAATTCAGTTCAGACAGACATCCAAATTGTAAATGTTCAATGGAACACAGGCACCTGAAGGCCAGAATCCTCATGGATCATCCTCCTGAACTGCATTTGTTCACCATACACTGCCATACATCCTTCCTATCCCTTCCATATCCGTTCCCGTTCGCTTAGAATCACCTGGAGATCCTGGATGCAGTGAATGTGGCCACGGCGCTGCACCGTGTGGCAAAGGCCAGCAAGTCCAATGGTCAACAGCTTGAGTTGAGATAGGACAGGTTGGGACAAGCTGACAGGCTGCAATTCGACTTTGGATCAGGTGGTAGGGCTGGCAGGATGTGGCAGACTGCGCATTGCCTGCAATGGCAACTGTCGTGTTGTTTTTCCATTGTGTTTGATCACATTGAACCAATTACCAGTGCAATTTCTTCCGCTCTATTGGGCAGGTATGAGAAAATATGGACAAGTCATGCCAAAAAGTTCACAGGGGATGAATTCCAGGAGCCACGTGTCCATTTGCTGATCTCGCGCTTCATCCCCATGGTCGAGGAATGCAACTCCCAAGCTTTGGCTAGCACAGCGTGGGCACTGGCGGTGTTGCAGGTTGGGGATGTTGGGAGTTTTGGTGGTTTCACAAGGCCAAACTTACCCCACAAATGGTTCTGGGAAGGTGTGATAAAGCTTCAAATTGGAAAGAAAGCGCCTGCGCCAGGTCTCAAACGAGCCGATCATGGAAGCGATACTCAGCTGAAAGGTATCAAACTGCAAAGTTTCGATCCTCTCTACAAGGCCTCTTGGTGACTAGGTCTGGAACTTCCATGAAACCCCTCAGACAGAGGAAGACAATTCCGCAGAGAAGACGGTCCTTGCTGTGCCAATACTGAGCAACACAAGCTTTGCCGTTCACCCTTGCATCACCCGCATACCAAGGATAGGGCGAAATGTCTCGACGGATGTGAAGCCCCGAGATCTAGCCAGTTTGGTGTGCCTTTGTTGGCAGTTGGCACCTGCAAATCCTGTAGATCCTGTAGATCGTAGTCGCGGATGCTTTTCCCAACAGAAATGCCGTTTTCTTTGTTTGCACTTCCAATTTTGGCTGACCCATGTTGACCAGATGTCACGGTCTGCCTGGAGTACATGGCAAAGATGTTGATTTTCTTAGCGGATGGTCGAAGAGTATGGGAATGGTATGGAATATTGGGAAGACCAATTCTTGTGCTTGCGTGGCAAACTTAGCGGTTTTGTTCTTTGCAGGTGGTCATTCGCCTCTTTGTCTGTGCAGCATCCGTCACTACGAAAGACCTTGCACGAGTTTGGCATCGGCAGGTCGGCACAATTGAGTGCTATCGATCTGGCGAGCATTGCTTGGTCCCTGGCGCTTCTGCAGTGGCATGGTGACCAGATGATGGAAGCTTGTGCCTAACAAAATTTAAAAGTCAGACGCAAAGAAATAAAAGTCGGGTGGGCGCGGGATCCGGAAAAATCAAAAAATACGGCACATCCGAAGTCTGGCTAAGTTTGATTCTTTTTTGACCACTGACTCTTCAAGGAGGAGATCGCATTGGCTGCTGGCCAGCAAGTTTCACGACTTCCAGTGCAGGCGCTATCCAACCTGGCCTGGTCTTTTGCCACATCCTAGTTTTCAGCTCCGTTGCTGGAAGACATCGGGATCTACGGCGAGAGGCAGAATGGGGGAGAATCGTTGTCAAAATGGATTTTGAGGTGCCCGCATTGTAACATGCCCTATCCATACTTGAGTTGTGGACTTTGGTTTTGATGGGTGTCACTGATTGATTTTCATCATGCCCATGGTGTTCCCATGGTTTTTTCCCAGAACCTCTATGACCTGCGTTTCCATCCAAATCCCAGGCGCATCGAAGAGTTTAAGTCCCAAGACTTGGCGAATAGCGCTTGGAGCTTCGCAGCCTTGGCGGTCCGTGGTGTCCGTGCTGATGCCTTCATGACAGCTGTGGCCGGTGCCGCACTGAAGCGGTTGACGGGAACGGGATCCACGGGATCCACGGGATCCACGGCCTTCACAGCACAAGGCATTTCAAACATCATTTGAACCATGGCCACGGTGGCCATTTTGCAAAAGCCCTTGCTGGAGGCCTTTTCCTTCACTTTTGGCAGGGCCAAACTCCAAGAATGGAAAGCTCAAGAGTTGTCAAATAGTGCTTGAAGTTTTGCCACGTTGTTAGTCATGGATCCAGTGATCGACGCTATCTCGGACATGGCATTTCAGCAGCTGGAGAATTTTGGCTTCCGACACAGTGCCAACTTGGCGTGGGCACTGGCCACCCTGGAGAAAACTAACGAGCCTTTGTTGACAGCCATGGCCGTCGCTGCAGCTGCGAATGCATCTGAACTCAGCCCCCTGTCGTTGGCAAGCACGGCTTGGGCATGTGTGTCAATGAAAATCATTTATTTCCCTCTTCTGGATGCCATGTCAGAGCTCCTTTTTCAATCTCCCGTGGATGACGGCATTGCCACCATGGCCATTTGGTCGTTGTCACGTCTCCCCGATTTAGACAGAGCCCTTCTTTTAGTGGACTCGGCCAAGTGGCGCATTCCGCCCCTGAGTCTCTCAGCGTTGTTGGAGGCTTGCGAGCAGCGAGACTTAGCAGCAGAGCAGCTGCGAGTGCTTCGATTGTTGGCACATGGGCATTTGAAGCCCGTGGTGCTGGATGTGTTGGACGCATTGGAGGAAAACGTGAGTCACACCGAGTCACGCCTTCAATGATGTCAACAAGCTGAAGGAACCAGTGAGGATCACCAAGTTAGGCAGCAAGCTATGACTGCTTGACGATATTTAGACAAAGTGTTGGCTACTAGCAAAGGGTCCATGAATGTGAAGAACTACAGTACCTATAGGTGGTAGAATGGCAAAGATTGTGAACAAGAGTTGGGCAAAAGTTGTGATGCAAAGAAGCTGCTCCCCAGTGAGTTTTCACTGATTCTTAGGTCTTCCAAGCCTTCAGCAGTGCCTTGGCTGTCGACACACCATGGCGATTTTCCAGGATCAAGGGACTTCTTTGGCCACACCTTTGCCACATGAAGCAACAATGGAACTGGAACAACATGAAGCCAAAAAAGTGTGCAAAAGTGTATATTATATTATATATATACACCCATTATATACACTTTAACTTTTAAAGTCAGATCCGCCAAGGCATCACCAATCGAAACAACCAGCGCTTTCTCACCTCTGAGGTGACCTTGAGTATCACCCAACAAGTGTTGGAACCGCCCGGAACGGGCCCAGAGGCAAGAACAAAGGAGCAGAAAAGGGGCGATCAGCGAGAAATCTCTTCACGGCTTTGAGAAGATTCGAAAGCGTTGAGCTGCAAATAGCTGCAAATATTTTTTCCGATTGACATTGCAAGTGTTGCAAGCACAAGGTAGAAATCGGAGTGTGTGTCCAATTCTAGCTGTCTAGCTTTGTTGCTCATGGCTTCAGAAGACAAAACCTTTTTTTTTGACTTGACCTGGAGCTGCGGAAAAGTACTATAATATATATATATACATATAGATATAGGTATACATGTGTGCGCATGTGTGGGCTCAAGGAAGTAGACGGTGAATCAGAAGCATGCGTTGTTTCCAAGCTAATCAAGCCAATCAAGATGCCTTTGCGCCGTCACCCCAACAATGACATGAACAGATCGACTTGCTTCAACAGAGAAGCTGTGCAGAATGCTCTCTGACCATGCGCTGATAAGCAATGGAAAGGCAAAGAGCCCATTGAAGATTATTTTACCACTTCCAACCGCTTTCAAAGCCCCTTCTCTCATCGGTCAAGTTGATTTCTGAAAGAATTCCTGCAGCCTTGTGCGACTGCCCATGCGGCCTTCATCGTAGGCACAACTGCAGCCTGCACAGCCGACACGGGGGTTGGAAGTTGAAAGAATACTTCTGCTGGGGGTGAAAATTCTCACAAGCTCAAATCGTGAAAACTGAAACCGACTGAAACCGACTGAAATGGCGAGGCATGACAACCACGGGTCCAGAGGTGCTCTGGGAGGTGCGCCAGTCATGAAGCAGGGGATGATTGTGGTTCATAATCACGATCGTGTTTTAAACTATTATATATTGATGATTACTAATGATGATTATTATTGGTGACTAGTATTTTGTTCATTCAATATGTTGTTCTTTTCTCGGTGCTTGCGAAGCTTCAGCTTCTTCCTCCAACTGATCAGCTCATGGTTCCATTCCGCATTGTCTCTAACTCACCTTGTTGCCAAGGGATCCGCATTTGTGCGCATCAGCCATCACTTCGTATCACTTCGTATTGCTTCCAGTTGCCTCCATGTCAGGTGGTTCATCCAAGCTGCCCACTACGGGCAGAGCCACATTTTGACGCCAAGGCGCAGCACTCGCTTGGGTCATGGGCCATGCTGGGCCGGTCATGTCGTAGCACAGGTGCTGGGCTGGAAGCAGCGAGGCACAGCTGTCCATTCCGTGGCCAGAAGAATCCCAATGAAATCACATTTAACTAGATCCAATCTGCAGAATTTTGCAGATCTCATGTAGTACAAGGCACTCTACTGGAAACAGATGGCTCAAGTGCTCAACTGTCAAGTGAAGAAGCTTAATATTTGACACTGAACACATTGCAGGCAATCACATCTCTTGCAGCGAGATCACCACGGATGGTTGGCTCAAAATCTCCGATGGCCGTGGATGGCCATGTCCTCAGTGTGCAAACATGTGGAAACTTCCCGTGGTGACGGTGGTGAACCAAAGATGGAATAGATATGGCATTGCAGCATAGTGCCCTCCAGTCAAAGAAGGAGAGAATTCACATCATAAACCGCAGAAACCAAGTTGTACAATCTCGATCCAATTGATCATGTCATTGAACTTCATGATCGATCCAGTTGTTCATTTCTATGTGTACTTTGATGTACTTTGTCTGCTGTGTGTGCTTTGTATTTGGCACATGTGTGCAGTGCCAGGATGCTCTCGGATATGCAGGGCCTTCATGGCCTGGGCAGTCTGTTGCAGCCGCGCCGGGGCCAGGACTGCAACCTAGACACAAGTGATACACAGAGAGTTGCTGTTTGTTTTTGGTGTATGACTCATATGATGATTTAATTATTGTTATATATATATATACATCCATTGAGTCCATTGATTATAAGTACATATTACATCGCAATTGATATGTGTACATAGTTCGGCAAATAGATAGGTTTGCTTCAGGGATTGTTAATGTTTGTCCATTTGGACATGTCCTTGACTGCAGTAACCTTTCCTGTTTTGGTGCCCGCAGCCTCAGGAAGTGGATTTAGCAGTTGATGAGCCGCAGCCGCAAGGCCAGGGACAATGTGATCAGATGGACCTTGTAGTGACGGTGGGCCAACTGCTCCGATGCTGAGGAATTTGTTGCCTGGAGGTGACCTTTGCCCAGGCCACTGTGGCAGATTCTTGAACACCCCCCGCATCAAAGGTTAAGTGCAGATGAGAGTAGATGTTTCAAGATGAGGATGAGGATGATGATACCGCAATGTTACCTACCCTGCGAGGTGGCAGTGCGAGCTTTTCCCAGCCGCGATGCTATAGCTTTATGCTATCGCCGTCCGAAAGCCCAGGGGTTGATGTGTGACTGCATTTTGCCGCACTTTAGACCTCACATCAGTCAGCAGGGAAGGTCAGAAGCATTCAGAAGCGGTTGATGAAGCCACCTCCTTTCGTCCGTGGTATGTTTAGGTTTGTAACATATATGACAACTATTAATGGATATAAAGATCATACAAACATGTGCGTTTTTTCTTTTTTATATTTGGTATACCTGAAAAGTGCGTTTGTTTCTAGGGACCCAGGGACGGAAACGATTTCTGGAGCGACTTTCAGGTAAAGGCGAGCTGGTCTTCGCGCGCTCCCAGAACTTTGCGGGGTGGCTGCGCCTAGCTGGTGCCATCCTCGGATCCATCAGATCTGCCGAAGGAGTTGGATTTTAGGCTTTAGGATCGGCTCAATTGGCTAAAAATTGGCTCAAAATGGTAGACGATCCAAAATGGGATACTTCGGATAGATTCAAAGGAGTTCATAGTTTCATCCTGAGTCCATCAATGCCTAATTTTGAAATATCCAGCAGATATTTCCAGTGTCGCGGTAGCAGGTGAGGAAGGATGGATGTTGGCCTTCGCCCCAGAACACGGCCAACTTCTACAACCTCGGGAGGCTAAGGCAGACGCAGAGCTTTCAATGTATTAATGACCTGTGAAGTAAACATGCATAAATATCCATAAATGCATAAACATCCAAATTGAATCAAAATGCTTGAGATGTTCTTGCCTTTGTACAGGTGCATTTCGTCATCTTGGGAACCCCCCTTTTCTATCCTTTTCTCGTCGCAGGAGAGTGTGCAAGTTGATTTGTGGTCTTTGTGTGACCTTTGGTCCACGGTCCGTCGGAAGAAGCGTCACACAGCAGCACAACTGGGCTCGGGCTCGATTTTTCGCGGTCGTAGCGTAAACTTAATAGATAATTGGTGGCCTTCAGAAATTGGCAATATCGTGAGATATCCATTGGGTATATGCTACTCCCCCAATGGCTGGCAATTGGTTTGGGTTTATTTCAGCTACTACTTCAAACTGGGTTGCATGTTCAATCTAATATTGTCAGGCTTACACACTACTCGCGTATTTGTCTCCACTGTCCCCCTGGTTTGAAGCCAACAGAGCCAGACGAAGAAGCTTAGCAGTAGCATGAGCAAAACAGTATTGGCGCATGTGAACACATTGGAACATGATCACTATATATATATATGTGTGTGTATGTATGTATGTAATGTAATGTAATGTAATGTAATGTAATGTATGTATGTATGTATGTATATACGTGTATTAGATCATTGGATGTTCGTGACGTATTAAGATGCTGATCCCAAGAGTGTTTGCGTCGGAGCATTTCAGCAACCACTCCTGAAACTTTGAGGCATGCTGACTCCAGCGGACGTAAAGGCATTGAAGGCCGATGCCAAAACGATGAAACGCTTGGACGAAGTCACCGAATTGACGACCCTCAACGCTGGAAGATGTTCACGCTGCAAGTTGGATAAGTTGGGTTCGGCATCCTGCCATGGTTCAGATGACAGGATGCTGAGGAGGGCACAAAGATCATGGCTGGCATGGACTACGAGCATCATGCCATGCTCTCAGATGGTGCTCTCAGATCTCGCACCTGGAGAGCCTGGGAGATCCTGCGAGATTTTCAGACTGAGGTGGCTACGGGAAATGCGGAGCCGCTGGTGGAAGATGGTCTTCTTACAAAGGCCATGGTCGTCCAGGGATCAGACTTGTCGAAGGATTTTGAATCCGATCACCCAAGGATCTTGCTGATCTGACTCATGACATATGGAATCATATGGATTTACAATGATTAACCGGGATTTTACATCGTAGATGAGTTCTCTTGAGCTCTTGACAAGACTTCATGGAGAATTTCTGCGGCTCCCTGGTCAGGAAGATTTGAGCCGACCAGAGGAGTGGATTCGTCAGAGGATCTTCGTGGCTCAGCCCAAACCACAACCTTGACCGACGATAGGGGTATAGGATGGGTATTATGGAGTAAATTGATGTATATTATACTGTATTATCTTAGTTGTTCATCTACACGCATGGACCTCACATAGCGTCACCCAGCGTAAGAGCACTATCTCTATAGGTTTTTGCAACACGCCACCGTCAGCTGTATTTCTTTAAAGCGGAGGATGACAGAGGCCTTTTCCCTCGTGAGAGTCAGGCGAAGTGTAGCTTCAGTGTCCTGAGGCCAATTCACTTTTGAGAATGGTTAAGGAAGAGCCTCCCTTCTGCGAAGCTTGGCTGCGATTGAGATCACAAGAACTCACAGATAATTCACAGCATCCAACTTGCACAGTGCCTTTTACATCTTTTACCACCTGGCGCATTGAAATTCAGGAGCTTTGTCCTCCGGATTTCAGGCTCACACCACGGCACGGACCTCGTTGCACATAGTTTACATACTCCTGGCTTGGTGCTAGAACAATTGCCGTATGTGCGGACGTGTTTCCCGCAGGCATTTCTTAGAGCTAAGGCCGCTTCCTCAAGAACTTTTTAAAGCGAAGGACCTCGCAGAAGTGAAGGGCCAGCCTCCGGAGAGTTTGGAGACCTCAATACCTCCGGGATGTTCGGAGTTCGGAGACCATTGGAGACCACCTCACAGTTTGGTTTCGCAATTTCAGAATATGTCAGATATTACTTCACAGTTTGTCAGATACTTCAATTTCTTCCGATATTTCAGATATGTTAGACTCGTTGGACCAAGGCCGTGAGAAGGCACCGAAGGCACCTGAGCCGAAGGCAGCCGGGTACAATGGACGAGCCACAGGCGCAGAGAGCAGCAGAGCCAGCAGAGAGCAGCGTAACTTCGTAAATTCCTACGACCCTACCATTCTCCGCACAAATTCTCTACAATCCTCGTGAAGTCCAGGTGCAAGGCATTTACCCAGAGAATTTGTTGCGCCAGGCGTGGATCCTCCTGCCTTTGGCTTTCCAGACCGCAGAGGCACCTTGCCTTCCAACATCCATATCCGGCGCTAGAATTCACTCGAATTCACTAGAAAGACTAGAAAGTTGAAGCTAACTTGAAGCAACTCAAGTTAAGACAACACAGACAGATACTTGAAGATATGGGAAGTTTGAGAATGCCCAAGGGTGTTCAAGGGGCGTTCCACATGCAAAGTTGCCAGGTGCCAAGGGTGCTTCAATGGGCCAGCGGGACTTCTTCCTAGGTGGAGCGTCCAAAGGCCGGCCCACCGGCCCACCGGCCCACTGCATTGGCTCTCATCGTTCATATATAACTGGTTCATAGTGATATGTTTTATTCTTTGTTCATCGTGTGCGTGTGTCTGTGTGTTCATAATTCACCACCTCATGTCTTGGACATGTCTTGACAACATGCAATCGTTTGAGTCACAATGCCATAGGTCGTGGAGCCGCTGGAGTCCGAAACGGCCGTGCAGGCCTCGATTTTATGGTGGAAGTGTCATGAAGTGTCAGCTACATGGATAAATTGAGTAGGCACGTATAGGCACGTCAAGGAGTCAAGGTCCAAGGCCGTTCAATAGCTACAAGAATTGCCAACAATATGAAGATATCCTACATGGTGATGGTGAAACGTGTTTTCAACAGACGCTGCGAGAATCCCTGGTTTTTTGGTTGCGTTTTTGTTCATGTTTCGTGGAAATTACGTGGATGTTGTTGCCAGGACGCCAGGCCAAGGGCAAAGGGAAAGGTCCCTTCGGCAAGATGCCCTTCGGTGGCTTCGGAGGCGGGATGGCAGATGGGAGATGCTAAGCGGCTGCGGAAGAAATCAGAAATCTCTGATTTCTTTGGATCAAAAAGATGAAAAGATGTCATGATTTTTCAGGAATCCCAATTGATATCCGCGATCATTCTGACATGTGCCGAGGTATGGCTGGTATGGAAGATATGGATATGCCTGGTCTTGGCGTGATGCCAGTGGAGGTCAACGGTGAGGAGATGCTGATGACGGAGGTGACCCATGGATCCCATGGATCCCATGGGCTGTTTGGCATCATGGGGTCTGGATTCCAACCTGAGCAGGCCGGCCTCATTGTTGATCCAGCAACACAGGCTCCAGTTGGAGTGTCCCACCCTCAAGGTCGAACAGATTCGAACAGTGAAACAGCTGGCAAGTGGTTGCCCTGCAAAAGGAGCACCAGGGATGCTGCTGAGGTTGAACCCAGCGACCGGCGAGGCCAGAATGTATGTCCAGATAATTCCACATATGACCTTCATATGACCCATTTCCATTTGACAAATGTGCACCTTTCATCACCTTTCCACAACCCATGGCATTATGGAATCAACTTCCCCAGGTCACAGAGATCACCGAGGCCTGGATTTCGGAGATGGAACTGAGGGCGAATCGGGCGAATCCGCGGGTTCTTTTCGTGAAGGCTGCAGGAATCAATACACACCTGGAGTCACGGGACAGGAATGTCATGGAATGTCATGGAATGTCACATTTCTGACGGATGAAGAGTTCTGACACGTAAACCTGCCATAGACGAACGGATGAAAATTGCCATGTGATAATGTTTCATGTTTCAGTGCGAGGCGATTCATCAATTCCCTGACTGCCCAAAAGATTCTAGAGACTGGAGAATCCAATCATTACAAATCCATGAGTTGAAGTTTTTGCACATCTTGCCAGGAGCACATGCAGACTTTGATGCAGACCCTTGGGCAGATCAATATGGTGGAGCTTGATGGCAGGTCTGGACTTGGCAATGTGATCTTGAATCTTGAAACCATGGTGGACCCAGTGGAAACCATCCAACTTGAGATGCTAAAATCTATGGTATGATCATGATATTGTCATGATGACATGGCCATGATCACTTTCTCATGATGACCACGTCATGTTTTCACACTTGATCAGCATCATTCCTTGCAGAAAACCAGTCAAAAGATCTCGCAGAGAGTGCGGATGCGTGGTGTCACCTGTGCATCCGCAGGCCATACCTCATGATGGCGGGTCTCCTGGTCGACCCGCAGACCCAGGAGACCAAGCATCGGCATGGACATCATCCTGGTTCTTATGGTCCTTATCTCACTCTTATCACATATGACGATCGCGATCGGATCCAGCGCATGGCCAAAACCTAAAAATCAGAATGTCCAAACAGAGCATGAAAATCATGAAACCACATGCACCACATTTGCTTCCTCCCCAAACATATGTGATATATGTGATATATGTGGGCATTTGATGGCATTTGCACTGCCCAAATAGGAGGTGGCCTTCAAGGTGGAGCCGGATGGCACCGTCATCGACGCTGCCACCGGGGAAGCCTGTGGCATGATCGATGTGTTGGGACACCCAGAGCCACGGTGAAACTGGTCGTTTTTGGGGTCTGCGACAAGATATGGCGTGTTGCAGAGTTGAGTTCACCTGTCATTGGTGATCGACGTTCACCTCGCAGCCATGTTTATCATATTTTATCATGTTGCACACAAGACATCACAAGACATCCAGACAGACATTTGGTATTCTAGCTCGATGCATGCTACATCAGGGAGAAAACAAGCAGGGCACCCAGCCAAAGTTATGCGGCGATTCTGTTGATGGGGGTAGGTTACGTTGGGTCACAATCCAAATTTGATCGGCGTATATCGGCGTGATTGGCGTGAGACCAGTTCGCCCGTGCCATGGCAGACGTCCGCTTGGAACGACAGTTGCGCTACTACTTCAGCGACAAAAACTTGTGGAAGGACGTCTGGTTGGTGAATCAATTGGGCGACGATTGCACAGGTTTCATCGCAGCTGAGGTCATTGCTGGTTTCAACCGTGTGCAACAGATCACATCTGAGTTGGACCTCGTGGTGGCCAGTTTGAAGCGGATTGATGAACTTGAGGTGAAGGAGGACTCCCAAGGTGCATCCGGCCCCCTGTTGTAAGTACAATATATTACAATTATTTAATGTTAATTAATATATATATATACAGGGTCCCTCAAATTCTTAACGTGCTATGTGTTTGGAATAGCTGAAAATATATAGCCCATCTCGGAACCGAGCCCCTCAAATTCTTATACAGTGAATTCTTGTACAATACTCAAGCTGTATTATATTATATTTATTTTCAAGAATTATATATATATAATGATTGTTCTGTTTTGGTGAGCCCATTTTCGATGGTTCTCCTGTTTTTGGAAACAGAGATACGGATCCGTTTGGACCTTGCCTAGCCACATGAATCTATGTAAATCCACATAGTATGTTCCCTTCAGTTACTCCAGTTATCTCGCCAGTTGTTCCAGGTTGCATGTTCTGTGTTTTTGTTTTTGACAGAGACAGGTAAAGCGGCAGTCCGTCGTCGACATGCTTTACCACCCAAGCCTCAACCAGAAAGTGAAGCTGGCTCCTTAGAGGCTGAAGGAGGAGATGATCAAGAACTTCAAGTGGCATCAACTGCGGTCCCCGACGCACCACTCTCTCAAGCACCCAATGCAAAAGAGATGGTGCCCCGGCCCAGACCTTTTGAAGTCGTTGCGTTCCCTTTTTCCCACCTATGACTCAATGACACTATATGAGAGGTGGAAAAAAATTACTTTACTTCGTGTGATCCCCACCATGACATTTATACATTTTGTTACTGGCAAATCTTCTGGCATTCTATCTGACATATTTTCTGGCATTCGATCTGGCATTCTATCTGGCATATCTTCTGGCATTCTACCTGGCATATCTTCTGGCAGATGTTCTGGCATATCTTCTGGCAGATGTTCTGGCATATCTTCTGGCATATCTTCTGGCATATGTTCTGGCATATCTTCTGGCATTCCATCTGGCATTCTATCTGGCATATCTTCTGTGGCTCGTATATCGAGCATATCTATGAGCATTATTTCGGCATTATATCGGGCAAATCTGCTGGCATTCTATTGGCAAACATTCTGGGAACTATCGGGCATCATTTCGGCCATTCTAGCTGACATTCGGTCGGATTCGATCGGCATACTTCGGCGTCTAGCGACATTCATCTGGCAATCTTCTGGCATTGCGGACATTCTATCGGCATTCTATATGGAATTCTATTGGCCATATCTTCGGCATTCAGCTGACATTTATCTGCATTCTATCTGGCATATCTTCTGGCAATTCTAGCTGACATCTATTATCTTGGCAATTCTATCTATTCTGGCAAGTCTTCTGGCATTCTAGCATGATCTTCTATCGGGCATATCTTCTGGCATTCTAGCTGACATTCTATCTGGCATTCTATCTGGCATATCTTCTGGCACTCTATGTGGCATATCTTTTGGCGTGGATACTCGCGGTTGAGGTCCGGCAGGGAACACTGGGCGTGGATGGTCGTGGCTGAGGTCCGACAGAGAACACTGTGGATCGCGGGTCGCAGTTGGACGAGGAGGACGAGGAGGACGACGAGGAGGAGGAGGAGAGGAGGACGAGATGAGGAGGAGAGGAGAGGAGCAGGCAACTGACATAAAATTTAACAACCCTCACCTGGCAGGTGGGGAACAATACAGTAAGTTTGATTGGAAGTAATGGGTTCAGAATGTTTCAGCCATGTGATGCCAGAAATTGAGTTGCAGGAATCTTTGGCTGGATTTCGGAAGGTTCCCAAGACTGGTGTCATTTATGTCATGGATGAAGCGAGCAAAGCTGGATACTGTGCAGCAACTGCGCAGGAGTGGGCCACCCAACTTTCACTGGCAAATTGTTTCTGAGGAGGTCCTGGAACTATGTTTTTTTTGAATCAGATGTATTTAATGCTATGCAGACTTGCCATCATGACTTACATTACATCATCACTCGCAAAATGGAATGTTTTCTCCGTGTAACGAGAACATATCAGCCGAATGTGTCAGATCATGTCGGACTGATTCTCCAACTTTTGAATCATGTCATGTATGGTTTGAACATGTTTGAAACATAGAAACCCTTTGCAGATCCTCAGTACCAAGGCCAATTTGGGACAAGGATCACCTGAGACCACCAGGGCCAAGAATTGGCCTACCAACATTCGAAAGCGCTTGACGGAACTGGTGGAGAAGGGCAAATTGACGTCAGAACTGGGTCCATTTTCGTTGCAAACTCTTGAAGCTTGGCTTAGCACAGTTGTACCATGTGATACCGGTTGATTTGCATGGCCATGTCATCGTTTTACATGGAAGATAACGCTCAGCATGTGATGAAAGGAAGCTAGCACGCTGTTCCTTGAACGCAGCCCTACCAAGGAAGTGAACGAAGAAAATTTACATTACTCCAGTGTGAACGGTGATTGGGCCTTACGGCGTGCTGTAGCAAAGTACTACAATGAGATCTATCGAAAGGGGAAATCGTCGCTCTACACTGCAGAGAACGTGGCTATCGTTGGTGGTGGGCGCCTTGCGCTCACTCGACTATGCTGTGCCATGGACAATGTGAATCTGGGACATTTCCTGCCTGACTACACGGTCTCTCAGCTTGGAAGAATTTGGAAGAAGTGTTTGCTGAGGGGCTAGGACCCATCAGGTTGGGCTCTCCCCAAGTTGTCACAAGAACAAGACCGGGCATTTTGGGAGCTTAAATATGTTTAAACATGTTCAAACTGTTTTGGCAGATCCTGGAATCATGTCACCACAACGAGGTATTGATACGGTATTGAGCATCAGGATAGCATCAGGTGCTGAGCCTTTTGCTATCTTTTGAGTTTAACTGAGTTTAATTGAGTTTAACTGAGATATCTTTTGATCAACTGAGGCCTATGCAGAGCTGTTGAGCCAGTTCAAGACGATCAATTCGATCCCAATTCCCTTGGATCCGAAGAACAATTTCACCATCACCTTGCAGGAGCTGCGGCGCGAAATCGTGGGCCGTGGTCTTTCGGTTCTGCTGCTGTCGAATCCCTGCAATCCAACAGGTCAGCTGATAGAAGGAGAGGAGCTGAAAAATTGGTGTCGAATTGCACGAGAAACTCAGTGCTCCTTGGTGTTGGATGAAATTTATTCGCGCTACATTTACACACAGCGCATGTCACCCACTGATGCCACTTGGCGGATGGTGTCAGCTGCACAGTTTGTTGACGATGTCAATCAAGATCCCGTGATCATCCTGGATGGGCTCACCAAATGTTGGCGAATGCCTGGCTTGCGCATTTGCTGGATAGTTGCGCCCAAATCAGTCTCTAAGCAAAGGAACGGATTCATTTTGATTCATTTTGCCAAACTTGATCAAACTTGTATTTTCCGAAGTATTCACTGAAGCATTCTGTTTGGCAAATGGGGCTACTTATTCTATTTGACTCTGCCCAAATGCCAGGTCATCGATGCAGTTGGGGCAGCAGGTTCCTTCCTGGATGGCGGTCCTTCCCTTCCAACGCAACGCTCCTGTGTGCCGCTGTTGAATCCCAAAGACGTCATCGAACAGACCGTGATGTTACAGGTGCTTTTCAGCCACAAACGGGATTTCCTGCTGCGGCGCTTACAAGACATGGGGATTACAGTGGAACATCCTCCACAAGGAACCTTCTATTGTTACTCGGCTGGTTAGATCTGTTTAGCGTACATCTATGTACATCTTGTGTGCGTTTTCAGTTGTAGTAGGCGGGAAAAGCTGACTGGATGAACACATCATTCAGCTGGCTGTAAAGAGCAGAGATTCAAACCTACGGGGGTTATCAATATGAACAGCATTCCCTCATATTCTTACTTTCTGAACTTGAATCTACCGTTGAGGTTGGTGCGATATCTCCAATTTACCACCGCCTTTGAACAATTGTTGGGGCTTCTTCCGAGAGCTTTTGAAGGAGAAAGTCATCGTAACTCCTGGTGTTTTCTTTGATGTGAACCCGGGCTCCAGACGGAAGTTCAACAGCTACGACTCCTTCATTCGAATCTCCTATGGTCCAAGCTTTAAGGAGGTACAACGTGGCTTAGAAGGAATGCAACGTGTCATCGAACGTCAGAAAAAGCTTCAAAGTATTCCCGATGATGCGATGGGAAGCCCATGAGCGGCCACAATAGCGCTCAGTAATGTATCTATAATGTATCTAAATAGTTAGCAGATCTTTGCAGATGTTTGCAGCGCTTGCAGCGTTTGCAGCAGTGTTTTAGAGAGCTCCTTCGAGACGCTGATGGTCAAGAAATGGGCAGCGGCTGCTGGCTCTCGGAACCCACTTGGAGGATCAGCCTGGTTAGTAAGTACTTATGATATTTAGCATAGTTAGTAAGCACTTAGTAAGTCACTTAGTAAGTTGATTAAGTATACTTATAAGTAGGCTAAGTCCACATATAAGTTGACTAAGTCCATGGTGACACTTAGGCCACTTAGCTAAGTACATAGCACTTAGCCTATGTACATAGCATTTTATGTAAGTAGATATAAATTTACGCGGCAACTTAGCCCACTTATGGCTAAGTGCCTTAAGCTACTTAGCGGACTTATAGCTAAGTCGCCTAAGTAGGTTAACCTACTTAGTTCTAAGTGGGCTAAGTCACTTACGGAGCATGGAGCCTAAGTCACTTAGCCTACTTAGAGGAAGATACTTTTTGAGCTAAAATAACATACATAACCTTGTCAGTTTGGGCCTTGCAAGCTTTGTTTGTGAGATGTGAGCCTTGATTTTCAGAGGCATGCGTCGGCCTGCGTGGCTTCGAGCTTTGATTTGTTCGATTATTTTTCCTTTTGTTTGTCATGGAGAAACATTTCAAACCAAAAATATAGTTGTCACAAATCGACCTTTTGGCATCTTTCTTTTATATCCGGCAAATGTGACATATATAAACATTTGCTGTTTTATTTAGAGGTTGCCATGCATGCTCCATGCTGCATGAAGAGTTTTTTCGTTGTCAAGAGGGGCATGCATGACATGAAACGTTTTTCGCAATGGTTGCCGCACGTTGGCCAGCGAAATCATTTGAGTGTTTCATTCGCCGTTTTTTGGTTCAACACTCCTTTGAAGTAGGTGCATGCCATGTTTTGAAGGCTTGTTGTTTTACGATTTTGGTGCGGGTGCCCAGGCTGTTTTGCTGGCTGACGCTGTTTTGATTCCAGGCCTTATAAGAAACAGTTGGGATGAGAAGGCGTGCTGCCCATTTAATTTTTATGAATGCAGACCTTTGCTCCGTAGAGACGTTTTCAATCAAACAGCTTGTATTTGCAAATTGTTTTTTTTGCTTGCTTGAATTTCAATGACCATAGTCCATGGGAACAGCTTGGGAAATCTGATTGTTTCATGGGTCAGGTCAAGTTTGTTTTTTCATCTTTGCTCATTGCCGCCAAGGTTTTTTGCATTCATTTTCGGCACTGCCCAGGCCAGCCATGACTAGCTTGTGGTTGAGATCTTCACCAAGGTGCACTAGGCGTTTTTGTTCGCCGCCTTCCATGCCTGATCTATCTTGCAAGATCATATAGTTTCAGCTTTGGCTATACTTCACTTGGTGCTGGCGTGGCTCTGCTCGCCGCACTTCTTTTGCGGGTTTGCTCGCAGGGATAAGTTTCAAACCACATTGTTTTTGAACATGTAAAATGATATGCGCATTTTTTGCCAGAAACATTCGCGAAGGCATGCTACACGGAGTAAAAACGCGATCTTTTTGACTCAACTTCGTTCAGCCGTTCTGGTAGATCCGTGGATGCCGTTTTGCTTCCATGTGGATTTCAATGTGGCCCAATATATTTTGTGGTTGCTTCCCAGCATGCATGACAGAAACCAAGCAAGACATGTTCGAGTTCTATAATGGATTTTTGCTCACCGCCCCATGCAGGCTACTGAATCATTCCGCAGCTCAGCTGGCCCCACAGGACACTATGGGGAGGGCTGGTGAGGTTCGAAGGTACAATGAAATTTGGATTGAAAAAACAAGAGAATAAAATTAATGTGAAGAAGAGTTCAGCATCATCCATCCCTTGAAAGAAATTCCAATTGTATTGATGCAAGTTACAGGCATAAGACCATGACATGTTCACAAACTGCTGCATTCCTCCTGGGCTTCAGCGCATGTCATGAAGACAGCGACATGCCGGCACCTTTAGTTGTGTGTATAGGTCGATTGTCACTTGTTTTATGGTTTATATTTATATATAGTAAAATATATATATATATATACCTACCTTGAGCATGGTATAGCAGGGTCGCCGATATAGATGCATTCACCATTTTCCCTCTGGGGAAACCCTACAATTTAATTGATTACAATATACCGCTATAAACATCAAAAGTGCATTGCCCTGGGGAGCTCATGCACTCCAACAAATGCTGTTCGTAATTCTCCGTGACCTTTTCGGCAACGCAATGGACACAATGGCAGCTTCGAAGCTGGAGCGCATGCCAGTTCGCGGCACTGCTTCGAAGGTTATGGAGGACGTTGAAATTCCAGGAGGCGCGGCCCAATAAACATACACTTCACTCATTGCATGTTGGACAGGGCAATATATAAACATATTTCCTTCACTCATGTAGGCTTTGGCAATTTGTTTCCACGCTTCTGCATGCAGGCTACGTCCCAGGACGCATCCTCCAGAAGTTCATCGATGGTGACTTAGCCGGGGCGGTGAATGATTCCCTCAGCAGTGAATTGCCGAAGGGATCGAAAGATCCCGATGGGCCAAGTAGCAGTGCAGCCGATGGTGCAGGTGGCTCATGTGACGCAGGTGTCATGAAGGCGGCTGCTGCACCGAGTGCAGCCGATGATGCAGGTGGTGGTGGCATGGAGCTTCCTCCACCACCAATGCCACCACCACCACCACCACCGCAGGCAGTGCCAGAGCCGAAGAATCCGCCCAAGGTCAAGGCCATGCCGCGACCTCGCCGCTATGGGCAGGGGCATGCCCTAGCGGCGGGGTCGCGGCAGCAGCAGCAGGTGGTCGACGTGGACGCCTATGAGGCCAAGAAGGATGCTGCTGAGAAAGACGAGTCATGGGGTCCGAAATGGCCAGCACCAGAGCTCATGAAGAGCACAACCTGGAAGCCGCCGTGGCAGACCTCTGCAGATGGGCAGTGCCATGGGCAGTGGCAGCCCTCTGGGCAGTGGCAGCCCTCTGATGGGCAGTGGCAGCCCTCTGGAACGTGGCATGATGCAGATGGCAGCTGGCAGGCCACAGCATCCATGTCACAGACGTGGCAATCAGATGGATGGAGCGCGATTCTAGGCTGCATACTTTGTATAGTTAAGTTTGCCACTATATATATATATGTTTTTTAAAAGATACTGCAGTCATTCAGCAAATATATATATATATACACTTTGTTTAGGGCAGCAAACCAGTGAACAGTGAGAACGTTTAAACTTTAGAATCGATGGTCCTTGCAGGGCAGACCATGTTATGAAGTTTCCCTTCATGCATGCAACCAACGACCCATGCTTGCGATTCCCAGGAACAGAGAGGTGAGCTGGTCCATGGAGCGCACTGGGCAGGAAGGCGACAACCACCCGCATCTTGTCTTTTTCAACGTCTTTTTGTTTGTACTTATTTTTCTTTGCACTGGATACACTTAGACACACAGTTCTCAGAATCTATATATTTGTCGAAGGGTGCAGGCGGGCCTTGCTCGCTGCACTGCCTTTGCGGGCTATGCTCGCAAGCAATACTATTGCAATACTATTGCAGTCGTTGGCATTCACCTTTACTACCTTCGTTGTTTGTATTTTCTTATTGGACAAAGCATAGACATATTGCATTATAACAACATGTAGGTCTTCCCGGCGTGCATTCAGTGAAAGTTCTGGTGAAGTTGGTTTACATTCTACTTCCCAAATCTCATCTTGTTGGATATGCTTTTGAAGTACGCATAGTTTAGGTGCAGTTCACAGTTGACATCATGGGGATGATATGTTTTCATGCCTTTGGCCGCTCCAAGGCAGAAGCGCATCAGAGATGCGAGCAACCGAAGGCGTGGCGGCTGGAAATACCAGCGTGTACAGCAGAATCGCCAGCTGGCGATCGAAAGACAGGAGCAGGGCGATCGCATCGACCATGCCTTGCAGATCATGGGAAGCTTAGCTAGATCGCTCGAAAGCGTCCTGTGATCTCGCAAGGCATGGTCGATGAATATAGCTGATCCCCTGGAAAAAAGATAAAAACTTAACCCACCTTAAAACTTTACTAACCATGCAATAATCATAATCAAATTTACTCTGAGGGTGCATATAAGGGCTCGGATCAGCTATATGGTATAAGGGGTCGTTTCACTATAGCCCAAGCATGGCAGTGACAGCCACAAAAAACCAAACTAGCTTATATGCTCTCTGTGGTAATTGCGTGTTATACGAATGAAACCACATGATGTTGAATAGTTTGATTAATGTGATGTGGCTTCATTGCCTGAATCTGCAGGTACACTGGCCGATGGCCGTTTCACTGTAGCAGCCTGGGAAAGGCAGTGACAGCTAGGAAAACCAAAACAGCTTATATGCTCTCTGTGGCAGTTGCGTGCTATACGAATGAAACCACATGATGTTGAATAGTTTGGTTAATGTGATGTGGCTTCATTGCCTGAATCTGCAGGCATACTGGCCGATGGCGCATGGGAACTCATTGAAATGCAAAGTATTTGTCATGAACACCAAGAAGCATGGTTTCAACAAATGGTTGCACAGAGGTACCTATACGACCATCAAAGAAAGACAACGTTTTGTTACCTTGCACTGGTCCCGGTCACTTGTGAGTTTCCATGCATGCACTGTTGAAGCCGTCAGGAGATGTTGCACTAGTTTTTTCATAAGGAGCTATGAGAAAGGTTGGTTGGAACATCAACTGAATGTTTGCAGTAAAAGGCTTCAACAGCAGAATGTCGCGTGAACTATCATGATCACATGGCGACCGGAATTTCAAAACGTACAGGGGCTACCATGGCAAGAATATGATGTTATGAGTTTGGGAATGCAAGCTGCACTCATTCGACCAAATTGTGTTTTGTTTTTAATTTTGCCGTTTGACATTGTCATATCAAGATTTCATCTCAGTTTTTTGTTGTGGAAGCCTATGCATGGCCTCAAGATTTCCTCCGCAAACATCACAGCGTGAGAAAAAAAAACAGGATATCACGACGTGAGTGTTGGGTGGGAGATTCATGGGTGGATGAGGTTGCAAACTGTTTGAATCGGTGTCTGATATTGCTCTAAGTAGGAAAAAAACATAAACTGTTACTAAATGGATGCCAAAAAATAATGATCCAACATGTTGAAAAAATGGTGACTGTTGCTTGGTTTTCCATGTGGGCCAACCACGGAAATTCAGATCTGGTCAGTTTTGGAACTTAATTTGCAAAAAAGTTGCCGGAAAAAATTGGCGAGAGTTCCCCCCTCCTTAGCTATTTTCAGGTTCATCCAAAAAAAAATGGATTTTGCATTTTTGTGATTGCACAAAATGGCACATTGCCATTTTGTGATTGCACAAAATGGCACATTGCCATTTTGTGATTGCACAAAAAACCATTGATGTCAATTTTGGAAACTTGTGATTGCACAAAATGGCACATTGCCATTTTGTGATTGCACAAAATGGCACTATGCCATTTTGTGCAATCACAAAAATGCAAAATGCTGATATTCCCGAAACAATGAACAAAACTTTTGATGTTAGACATCGACTACATCTACTTTGAAGATTGCAATGATCAGGTCAAAGGTCGTGGTTCCTAGATGGATGGTAGAAACACATCAATCCAACCACCATTTTGAAGGCTGTAGTTCTGTGAATCTGGATGGCCAAGTCTAATTCCCAAACATGATTGTTTGTTCAACAGACCCGACCTGCCCCTGCTGCAGGACTATGCGCATCACCATCTTCAACTACAGGTGGGCAACAGGCGCACCATGAGAATCCAGCTACAACTTTCTCACATGGATATTCTGAGCCTTGAGGTTACAAAATTTATCACACAACCATGTATCACCTCACAACCGTGTATCACCTCATGTTCACAATGACACCCAGTGCTTTTGTATCTTTTTAACAAACAGCCGCGGGCTGTGCTCGCGTTTGTGGCATTGTCGGGCCCAGCTCGCATGCTCCATAAATAGGCTCAAACATGCTCCCATGACTGCTTTTGGATCTTTTCACCAACGACCGCGGGCTGTGCTCGCGTTTGTGGCATTGTCGGGCATCGCTCGCATGCTCCCCAGTTTAACCCAACTTAATTTCACACTGTGAGGGTGGTGTGCACTCAACCATATACGTTGCAGAATTGGCTGGATCAACTATGCGCAGTGGATCTGCAAGCGTGGAGCCCGCCAAACACTGTGGCAAACAAAAATATGAGAAAAAACAGTTCATGCAACATATTATATCATGATCACAAAGTGGAAGTTGCCAACTGCATTCAGCTTAAGTGTTTGCTACAGGTCAGTGTTTGCTACAAGGGATCGTTTCACTGGCTTTTCAAGTCAGGTATAGCCACCATCATAGAGGCAGTGACAGCTACGAAAACCAAAACAGCTTATATGCTCTCAGTGGTAAATTGGTGTCGTATTGATGAAACCTCAGCATTTTATATTGGTGCAACATCGTGTTGAATGGTTTGATCAATGTGGTGTGGCTTCATTGCCTGAATCTTCAGGTATACTTGCCGATGGCGCATGGGAACTCATCGAAGTGTATAATATTTGCCATGTATATCAACCAGCATCTTGACAACAAATGGTCGCACAGAAGGCCTTATACGACCATCAAAGAAAGATCATGGTTTGTTACCTTGCACTGCTCCAGGTCACTTTTGGGTTTCCATGCGCTGTTGAAGCCATCAAGAGATGTTGCAACATGTTTCCAACAACGCACCTGCGAGTGTAACCCGACAATGGTGCAAGCAGCGAGCTTAGCCCAAGCTGCTTCAGTGTTTGCAATCGTGGTGAGGCATGTTTGAGATGACTTTAACCGGTCGCAATTTAATACCCACAGTTGTTTCCTGTACTTTTTTTTTGCCACAGATTATTTCATGATCGCAAAGTGGCAGTTGCCGACTGCTCTCAGCTTCATGGGCGTTCTAACTTTGATGGCAAATTTTCAATGATTGAATCGACATCATTGGTGCTTCAGCATTTTTGCAGTCAGAATAGATGCCAGGTTTGTCAGACTATATGTCAGCCTGGTGTATCTCACCTCTTGTGGTTTGTTTATTGTTGGTTGACTTAAAGAATATTGAATATATAAGTTGTCGCTCCTGAAAGGATGTGATAACCTTTTTCCTGACAGCCAAAAATTTGCTGCTTTTGAAAGCGTTGGATATGTTTTTGTTTGTTTGTTGTGTAATGTCCTTTCCCAAAGGAGGAATTGGAATTGAAACCTTGATTTAATGAAATTGTGCACAAACGTGAAACTCATAAAGGGGAATTCACATTTCAATGAAACCCCTTGGAGGTCAGTCATCTATCTTTCTTTCACGTGTATTTTGGTTCAAGTGGGTTACCTTTATTGTTATACCCCCCTGCCTGCTCCCTCTTTTGAGGGGTACTTGAACCGATTGTCCATGTTACGCGCTCGTCGGCAAGCTACATTGGAACGCTTGCAAAGCTTGCTGTCGCAACTGCTCTTTTTCTTTCGTGTCAAACTGGCAGCCCTCCAATTGCAGTATCATTTGGAGGAAACTATTGATGAGCTTGAGGAGCTTGGTTTTGAAGGCCAGCTTTTGCTCGTCATTTTGAATGCCACCAATGCCGAAGTGAGAAGATTTGTCGTTCGCTGCAATCAAGCTATGACTGCTACACAAAACTGCATTTTTGATATGTTTCTAAGACGAGTCCCATGACTCTCTGCCTATATAACCCAAAGCCGTGAACGCCGGCGCTGAGTCCAGTCACTCCTTTGCTTTGGCAGCAACAACTTGTGAGACCAACCCCAATGCGCAAAAAGGATTCAGCTGTCCGAGTGAGTCTCTTAGTGAAGCCGTTCGATTTTTACTGCATGTCACGCTTCGGACTGGAGGTCTTGAAAGGCATGGCTTTATGCATAGCTTTTCGTGAGCCACGGTTTTTGAACAGAGCCCGCATTTAGCGCTGTGCCAAAAGAAAGTGCATGCCTGCAGTTCAGTTTCTGTTCAGTTTCTGCTTCTGCCCACAGGCCAATTCATGCGATCGCCCTGCAGACAGAGGTGCACCTTCGATTTTTGTTTTTTGTTTCATGCTTTGTGGATATACACGTCCGTGATTGCTTCGATGTGAAAGTTTTGGCGACTTAATAGCATTGTGCTGGCGTGGCAATGCTCGCCGACACGTCCTTTGCGGGCATGGCTCGCAATATGTGCACTTTGCCACATGTGGTATCAACATGCCAAACGCATGTTCATTTTGACTTCGCTTACATAAAGCCGTTTTTTGGTATGAGGTTCATGCATGCAGAACTGAACATGCATGCATGGTTCGCATGACATGCATGCACTGCATGATCAAGCCATGTATAATGTTTGCAAGCCATTTGGGCCAAACCAGTTTTGAGGTCACCTTGCAAGCAGCTGCCGTGCGCCATGCAGGACCACATGTGGATGCAGCAGTTCTTAATCACCCCAGCTCACGAAGTTTGGGGTGCCATAGAATCATGCGCCATTTTCAAATGGTGCCACCATGGCAGCAAAAGGCCCTACGAGTGGCTGCTCCTTAAGCCATTATCTGACACCTCCCCGCGCAAAGGCAACGGGAACAAGATGCCCATGGTGGAGCCGCGTTGCCATTTTGGCACCATTGGGTTCCTTCGCCTCACGAAGTTGCCTTGGCATGTGTTATGTTTTTTCTGTTTCAGCTGTGGGACTTTGGAAATGTTTGATTTGATCCTTAAATATGAGATTAAAATAGCAACCACAAAAGTATGTACATATATATATATATATAATATGATGTCAGTTTTCCATGATTTGTTGTCGTCCCCTGCATGCAGGACGAAGAAGCGTGCCTTTGGCGCAGTCGGAACTTGGGAAAGCAGCGGCACTACTTTGAAACTAAAGAAATTCGCTTGCTGCCTGGGAGCAAAGCTGCTGGACTTGACCTTTGAATACCATGGTGCTGTGTCTTGGTGATGAACTTGATGTTTTTCAGTTCTTTCTATGAACTTAGAGTTGTTTTTTTCCTTTCAGTTTTTCTTTTTCGCTTGGGGTCCTATATCATGTGTTTGTTTCGATGATCCAACCACATACATACTGCACAAAAGCCTTTGGTATGTCATGCCTTCTGTTGATTCATGTTGTTTGGTTTCTGCATGCTATATGGCCATTGTGTTTAAAAGTCTGGGCGATTCAAACTTTTCTCACCATTGCAAGGGCCAGTGGACCGGGACATGTGGCATGCGAAGCTTGCAGTTGCGCTATTCCCCGTGGCAAGGGTCACCTGCACCTGAAGTGCCAACGCAGGACGATCCGCTTGGTCGACCCATGCAGCCCATGCTTGCAATCATGGACGTCCCGCCAGAAGAACCGGATGCGGCTCATGAAGGCGAAGCTGACGTGTCCGGAAAGTGGCACTTGGAAGGCTATATGGTGAGCCGGCAGACTGGGGTTTTGAAAATGTTTTTTGGTTTTGATGTCGCAAAAAGTTGCGAAATCTAACCGGTCGTGGCATATAATTGCCCCTTTCTAGAGACGTCTCTGGACAAAAATCAGATCCCAAAAGGGAATCGCCGGAATAGACAAAAGGAGCATCTGTGTGTTTTTTGGTACATGGCCATGCAACCTTGTAAAGATTACTATTTATACATGGGTTTGAGGGATGCGTTTATCATGAATACACACATCTATAAATATATTTATATATATCTGAAGTAAGAGTCCCATATATAATGTCACAATAACCGTGGGTGAGGTCCAAATTACTTAGGATATTATATCGTTTGAAAGTTATAGCCAACCACACACCCCTTTGTTGCCCCTTGTCTCTCCTGCAGGTGCTTCATCGTGTCCATCGACTTTGTTGTTATTTTGCTCTGCAGATCGTGGCGACGTTGTTGATATGGATGGATATTTCACATGTGTTGAAAATAGACCTGCTGGCCTTGTTATAATGATACATGTTTGGTTTACATGCAGGCATGTGGGTATATGACTTGTGGATATGTTGGCTGGTATATAGCTACAAAACATGTGCTGATCAATCTATTGATGACATTTTCCTTATTGCATTGTTTTATTTTATTACTTGAAAATACCAAGGGTTGAAAAGGCCACAGTCGGGCTTGGCTCGCTGGCCTGACCTAGCGGGCACTGTGCTCGCAGGTTTGCTGGGAAAACATGCATGACTTTGAGCACGGTCATGAATTCAACCGACCCAGCAAAAAGATAATGTATCACCCTTTTTCACATTTACTTGCGAGATAAAATTTCGTTGCATGTTTATTTTTTGGCGGAATGCTCTCTTTTTTCGTCACCTTTTTTCATTTTAAACCATCAAAAATACTTGGTTACATGTACATATAAGTCACTTAGGGGACTTAGGTTTGAAGCTGTCTAAGTGACTTAGCCCACTTAGCCTAAGTACGCTAAGTACACTTAGCTAAGTCCGCTAAGTGGCTCAAAGCTAAGTGTGCTATCTAACTTAGCCTAAGTGGAGTAAGTACTTACTAAGTGCCTTAAGTACATAGTAAATATCATAAGTACTTACTAACCAGGCTGACCCTCCAAGCAGTTGATGTTCTGTTTTCACTTGGTACGAACGCATTTTGTCTGACCCACGTTTTGTGCTTGCAGGGACAACGCAGACAACCCGGACGTCATCCCCACCAAGACTCCGCCCAAAACTTTTAAGGACGAGGTGGGCCCTCGTCACTTGAGATCTTGTTCACACAACAGCTTGCTGGCACAGTCAGCACAGTCAGCACAGTCAGCACAGTTGGAGTCATCGAATTGTCAATTTCACACGTGCCATCGTGCCACCGTGCCACCTGCTCCAGAACTTGGATGCACACGGCTGGTACGAGCGAGCAAAGGAACTCATGGCAGATGATTACTACTACCAGGCACAGCCACTGAGTCAATGGTTTTAGCTGAACTGATGGCACTCAGAGCCCGTGTCGCGGCTTGCCAGGCTGCCGCTGCCTTTGGCGAGGTGCCACGACTTCAACATGATGGAGATGTGGAGAGCCGCTTGAGCTCTCTAAAGTAAGCTTTGTTGAGTTGTTGACTCAAGATTGTGAGATTGACAATCAATGATAATCATAATCCTGACGCCACAAATTTTATTGAATCATCATTCTGCACCGCATGTCAATCTTTCAACTCCACACTGTCCAAGCATCGCACATGGCAGGCCCTGCAGTGTTGTCAGGAAGAGCGAGCTGTCCCTTGAAGTTGCAGCAGATCTGGGATGGACTCGTAATTTGTCCCACTGCCCTTGGAAGTGGGCAGATACAAACTGTAGCAGCCTTCTCATTGTTGGCACATTCACATTACCAAATAGTGCTATATCTTGGGCTGATGGTATTAAGTACCTCCGCTTTAGGTACTTGAAATTCCGCTTATGTACATTGTTTCTGTATTCCAACTCCTTGGCAAAGAGACCGGTCCTGAGGTTGAGCTTGAGTTCGAATGTGAATTGTTAAAAGGCCGAGCGTCCTGCTGGAGGACGCCATTAGCAAACAATGCACAATAATGATCAATAATGCACACATGTTCGTCATGTTCGTTGTGCACAACGTGCCTTTCAGCGTCATCAAAACTATGCAAAAATCGTTGTGGATGGACTTGAGGCGTCTTGAGATGTCTTGAGATGTCTTGAGACATGATTCATTGAAGCCTTGCTTTCTGCTTTGATTCCCCTCAGAAGGCATTCTGCAGGCCCCGCAGGCATCCGCAGGCCTATGGCTCAGCCATGGGAGAAGTAGTCAGGACGCGATGGACACAGTGCATACTGCTGTGTTCCTGCATCAGATGCCTGCGGCTGAGTTTCTCCCACATTTCATTGACGGACAACACGGACAACATGGCAGACCGTTTCAATCCGTTTCACCATGCTTGACACTGCACAGCCAAAGATGACAGTTCCCGGCGGCTGAGGTTTTGTGGCAGTTGACTATCTCACATTTAGCAACTTGGCAAAAGACAGAACAGAAACATGGGGAAGTATTAGATGTATTGGGAAGTGCCAAAGGAAACCATGTTTTTGGCATGTCTTTGACAAGACAACTCCAGCAACACACGTTGATTTCTGAAGATGACATGCCCCCAGAAATGGAAGTCTTTGCGTTTGATCTGAGGATGGTATGGAATTCATGAGAGATTTCAGATGACCGCTGGCTGGCCGGAAGTTGCCACTGATGTGTGTCAGGAATTTCCTGCCGCACTTTGTCTGCATGATGCAGGGCCCGAGGGCAAAAAAGTATAGATTATACATTGACTATACTGACATGGCGGGGGTTACGATTTGGCCCACTATACAGGGCTTTGTGTCAGCGATCCAGAATTTTTGCGGTTGCAAAGGATAGGCACGGCACAGGCCTCACCAAAGCGACTCCAGCAACTCCAAAATGATAGTGATAATTTCTAGCTGCTCGTAAGTAGCGCTGATTTGGAACTAAGATCGTAAGTATCACTTTCCAAGATTTTTGCCCACGGTCGATTTATCTAAGGTCTGCGTAAATTTGCCGTTGAACCGATGTGTGAAAGCGCCACCTGGCTTGGGAGCTCCATTCTCTATGAACACCAGCAGCCCCGAGACTGAGAACTTTGTTTACCGACCACCACACGAAAACCTCAATGCAGCGACTCAGTGGCATTGGACCCGTTGGACCCGTTGGACCCGTTTGGCTTTCAAGACTTTGATTCAACAATCTTCATGTAAGTCAAACATGTTTCATGGATTTTCATGGATTTTCATGGATTTTCATGGATTCACCATGATTCACCACTTGAACAGCATTGGAATATTGGAATATTGGCAATATCTGTACGGCAGTGTCCAAGGAATACATGATTCTGAATTGGATGGGCATCAATGGCCAGCAATTCTTCCACATCTACAGCGGCTGCAGTTCCAACTGCGATGACTGTTCTTCAGGACTGACACGCAAAGAGCGTGAGAGGGAGGTTGATGGAGATGAGGTTAGTCACAGTTAGTGGTAGCGAATCACCAGGCAAACATCTAATGAATTACGTTGAACATTGTTTGCAATACCACATTGAAACCGGCTATATTGGAAACATCATCTGTACATATCTGTACCATCCTGGAAAAAATCTATGGTGACGTGGTGAGGTCGGTTCAGCCAGAATGGATTGAAACTTCAGCTATATCCCCTGCATGAGGGTCTGCCTTTCTGTCCTTTTCTGTTTTTGGTCTGTTTTTGTGTCTCAACCTGATCTGATAGTAGTCTGATAGGGAGAGAGGGAGGGCACAAAACGGGCACAAAACGCAGGTAAAGGCCTGACACTGACTCCTGTGCAGCTGCCGCGCATGTGCGGCATCACTCGAGGTCAGTATGCCTGGCGCCCAGCGCCATGCAACATCTAGATGCGACATCTAGACGCGACATCTAGGCTTTTCCGATGTTTTCCGTTCATATCTGTGCGTATCTCTGCATATCTACTATCTATTACTATCTATTACTATCTATTGTGTGCTATTCATGTACTATGAATCGTTTTTCAGCCTAGGTCTTGGGATACCCACAGGAACATTTCCGATTAGAACCAAGGCTCTCCCACCTAGACGCATCGTCGATGTATCAGCAGCCAAGGTGTATGGGATCTTGTACAATCCCGGTGATGGTCCATCCCTCAGCCGGCTGCATTTGTTTCTTGTGATCCTCGGATCTCACCGTAGATCTGCCCAGGCAGCAGAGACACTTCATTCAATTGCGTCCACTCGTTGGATGAGTATTGGGCAGCAGCATCTGCCAACGACTTGTTTGCGACCATCATGCGTATATCAATCTCCGGGCTCATTGCCACATGACCAAATTCATTTCGTTGGTGTGAAATCTAGAATGTAAAAAGGTGTAACTTGTGGCAGGTTTCGGCAGACTTGACACGTTTTGAAGGAGTTGCACTGGAGTTGCACTTCAATTTTGGTTTGAAACCTTGCAGATCTTGCAGCTGAGGTTTTGGTTGTCATCACCCTGGGTTCGTTTCTTTACTTGAGGATTTGCCGGCAAGAGTCCAGCCCGTATGGATTGAGCATAGGCAACAGGGTACAAGTTGCCACTGGCATCTCGGCTGCAACTCTTGTTTCCCATAGATCCGATAGACGCTAAACAGGGTCTCAACACCTTCAGCATCAGCTCGGAAAGGACATGAAAGGACACTGCATTGTATCATATTTTATATGTATGTATGTTATATATATATACACACCTATTTATTATTATTATTAGATGATATCATATTATATCATTATATTATGCGTGCAGAGTGTCAAGCATCTTTCACGATATGTTTTCTACATGCAGTATATGCAGTGGCGGTTGCAATGCCGAGGCACAGGCGGAGTGGAACCGCCCACCAAGGAACAGATTGAGGCTTGTGTTCCTGAAGTCCGCATGGACAAGGACTTCATTCTGTTTGGGTGCTACATGAAACCAGTCGCAAGTCACAAATACTTATATGCATTTAATATCATTAGTTATTGTGCGAAATGGTCGGACAGATTGCACTTCTAAGAATGAGACACATGCAAACGTCTAGACATGGCAAGCCCACACCAATCCTTCCTGCGCAGGAGGAAACTTGTGCTGTATGCTTAGAATCCATAGAAGTGGACCAAACAGCGCGAAAGCTGCAGTGCAATCATGTTTCTTGGCGATGCTCAGCATCAGTGTACCTGCGATTCAAATGAGCATCCCAGCATTTGACCCCCAATAATGAGCCCACATTTCTCAGGCTTTTCACTCCGAGTGCATCATCGGCTGGTGCACTCACCGCTCTATACAAGTGCCTCGCCAGGGGGAAGAGTAGGTTTGGGAAGGAACAAGGCGGAGAAGATGGAGAAGGAGAAGGGAGAAGCACGTGATTACATAAGATACATAAGATTACTAGTTGATTACTAGTTGATTGGCATTTTGTTGGCCTTCGTGCAGCTCAGTTTTCGGCAAGTTGTGTGTGGCATTGTGCAGCAACGCTGTGCCAAGGCAATTATTTGCCCGGTGTGCCGCGATCAGCAGCCCCTGAATCCTCGACGGGAGGCATGGCCTTGGGAATCATTGCACTGTGAATCCTTGGATTGCGGCCACTGCCAGGTAGAATCTGAGCCAAGGGTGATCGGCGCTGTTGGAGGCCGGAACCAGCTCCTTCCAAGTCTGTTGTTCCACTCAGCCTCAGGGTTTGTATCCAAGTCTATCCGAAGCTTCTCACCAGGCTCATCTTCCGAAAACGTTTGACATCTTTTTTGGGATGTTTGAAGCTCAGGTGGCCATTTGGCGGAATCGCAAGATTACCTGTACGGAATCATTAAAAAAAACATATGAACACGTGGCTGAAGCGAATCTGGCATTCCTGTCCTTGTCACTTGCTGCCCTTCGTTTCATTTCGTTTCCCTTGCCCCAGGTCCAGTGTGTTAGGCGGACGGCCATTCTGCATCGCTTGCCGAATCGGCATGGGTGCGGTTGTGGCCGAATTTTCCCTGCACTTACGCAGACCTTTCCCCAGGGGTGTACAGAAATGCCAGAAATAACATGAAATACGTGTATAGTAAAAAAAAATGCACAAGATTCTATTTGCTTATATGATTGTGTAGATTATATATTATTATATATATATATATAATCTCCTAAGATTCCTATGTCGTTGGCCCTTCTCAAGATCAATTTGTCCCAAGCGTTGCACTGGCCGTTGGTCGTGCTGAAACGACCTGCAGCTCTGGACACGGGCCAAGCATGGCCAAGGACTGTAACCATGGCCCGGTGCAGCTTTCAAAGCCTCACCGCTTCGACCCTTCAAAGATGGTAATGATTTCACTTTGGAGATCAAGATTCAAGCCGTATTTCATTGTCAAACATTGTCAAACGTCGATTAGGAAGTTCAACCACGTTCCTATTGAAGAAGAAGGTGACCGGAGCATGGAGTGAGGTTATGTCTTAATCTTCCACCGAAAATTTACATCCACGGTGCCTAAGGCATTACGTGTTGATTACGTTTCTTTGGCCTTTGGCCTGCGGCATTGCATGCCAACTAGGTTTTGCAGGTCTGAACCGCAAGGTGATGTGCTGTGGAAAGCCAAACGTTTGCACAGTGAAAGCCGAAAAGTGACCAAAGACATTGAGCCAAGTTGCATTTGAGTTCCACTTGGAAGCATGAGCACGGAATGTGTTCCAGAGATGTTGACCATAGTTTTTCGGTCTAAGCTGAACCTGTTTTATCTCATGGAAGGAAGATGAAGGAGTTCAAGTCCCTCTTAGAAGATGCAGAGAAGCTGATCAGCTATGATGCTGATGACCAAGAGGCACGGCAGGGCACCAGTTCATGGAAAACCCTTGCAGGGAAGCTATGGTTCACCAGTCACCGCAAAAACCACGTGCCACAATGTTTCAGAAATAAAGACGATCCAAACTCTGGATCCACAATGATCATAATGATCCACACCTATTCATCTTCGAACCTTCGGAGGATTTCAGGCGCCCTGTCAGCTGCTGTCGGCTGAAGTCGGTTCAGGCTCTGGAGTGGAAGCGCCTGGCCATGGACGAATTGGGCCAGAGACTCAGCCCTCCCAGTGTGCATCCAGTTGCTCTAACATCAAGTTGATGGTGGAAAAAATCAATGTTATTCTAGACTTATTCAATTCATTCAATGGTAGCAGTGAGTCTCATGAAATACCACGGCTCTAGGGATGGTGGCGTACTTTCACAAGGTTACGCTTGATGCAGCATGAACCACTGAGGCAAGGCGAGAAGACGCTGAGAGGGTCTGTACTCGTCCACAGAATCAAAAGTACGACGGTACGACGGATTGCTATTACAGCAGTGTGTCCGTGTGTGATGGGAAGAATCGGACGGAAAGATCCATGTCCCGAAATCGCATGAAATCGCTCATTCCAACCCATCCTGGTAATTAGGAATCCCGCTCAAAACTTCATCTATCCAAGTGAACTTCTGCCGAATGCCATTCAGTTTCCACCCTCTTTCCTGGAATTTCTCACCCGCGTTGCCATTGCCAGAGAGAATTCACCATTGGACATTGATTGGACATCAGACCCTGAATTGCGCTGTACCCGCAGCTGTTTGGTCCCAATGAACGAGTCTCCTGCGCCTAATGGTGGAGGACCCACGACTCGATTCCAGTGGGGCTTCAGCATGGACGAACACGACGATTGCCTGTGAAAATGCTGTTGACACATGTTGACACATCTTTGCAATCTTACCATAATTATCCATAATTTATCGTAATTTCACGCACTTGTGCTCCAGGAAGCCTTGGCAGCTGCAGATAGACATCAGGCCACAGAGTTGCACAGAGTTGTGCTGGCGTTGAGCCACTTGATTTGTTTTTGACAGCTATAACTGTTCTTGCAACAGGCGTCTCTTCGAACGCAGGTGCAACTACTCAAGCAGCACAAGCCTCAATGTTTGAAATGAAATGCCAAAGCCCAGACCAGGATTTCAAGGCACATGGCAAAACTATGCAAAACGATGTGATTTTTAGATCGTTTTTTGATAGTTTGTCAAACAGTTTGTCCATATTTTGTCCAATGGGAAGAGCGACAAGTCGTGTCGTCGTGTTTCAGGTCTCATGCCGCGGCACAGGAGGAGATCACTCGACTTCGGAGCCTGTTGACGCAGAGGATGGCGACATCGACACGTCGTGGAACCAACGGGGAACCAATGTGGAACCAACGGGAAGCAACCGGATTGTGGATGATCTTGGCAGAAATAGAAATCTCAGGCTTTGGAACCGCACCATTGTTTCACAGCATCATGAAAAATGATGAAAAATGCATGTGAACAGATGTCAAAAAGTACAGCTTATATAAAACAACATGTTTTGGCAGTCGGATTGTGTCGAACTCTGACGCAGCCATTTGCTGTAGGAAATTGAGTACAGCGTTGATTCGATGCCAGAATTCTTTGAGATCTTTCAGTATCCGATATCCGAAATGGTCAGAATGGAAGAGTTGATGAATTTTCCTGGAGGGAAACGTGAAACATGGATAAACATGGGCTGCAAGCCAGGAATGTGAATGTGCCTCCCATTGCGCACTTCCCGCAAAGAAGGCGACCTGAGTCATACTACGCCACTCGACAGAAAGCTTGGTAATTTCTTTGACAACACAGTGTCATTGTTCCGGGTATGGTCTCAACAAAAGATTCTGCCTGGCAGAGCATCACCAACATGCAGACACTTTGCCAATTCCAAAGCCCCAGCACAAGCAGTTCCTCCGCGTATTTGGAATGCCTAAAGAGGGTCACCATGTGTTGCCATGCACCGGCTTCCATATTGGAAGATGATGAAGATGGGATACGAATGGATATGATCCGATGAATTTCGATGATATGACGTGAGTTCACGTGACTTCGAGGTGTGACCAGATTCTCCTGGCTTTTTCCGAGGTCGGAGATGCCCAAGATCCAGACTCGGAGCGCACTCACAGCAGTCGCAGCAGTGGATCCAGCCAGATCCAAAGTGAAAGTCACAAAAGCTGCAGAATCAGAGGATCAAGTTATAATAAGTTATATCAAGTTCAGTGTTCAGAGTGTTCAGTGTGTCACCCTGATTTTGGCAATGTTTCACATGTCATGTGAGTGAGGTGAACTTCGACGGGAACACTCTCCAAGAGGTTGTGCAGAGAATGCTTCTTGGCCGCGCACGGCATTCTCAGTTCCTGTTCAGTGCGTTTCTTTGACAATAAGAGACATGTGCTGCACATGAAAGATGAGAGAGTTGAGAATTTCACTGCATTTCGAAGTTGATTAGATTCTGATTAGATTCTGATTAGATTCATTCAGATGGTGGTGCCGCCATATATGCCATAGCTGAGAGGTTCCAACGCAGGAAACCATAGGCCTCGGGATTTCATTTGCCGTTCTTTGTCCAACACGTCCACCAAAGTCATTCATACTCATTCATTACTGTAGCACTGCAAAGGCTTCCGATGTCAGCGGGCACATTAGAAGTTGTAACTGCAAGATATTAGACGTATCTACAAGTGGTTATTAATCATAATTAATGGTTATTACAGTATATTACAGTTGTTTTTGACGGTTATTACAGTTGGCTGTGCCACGAGCGTCGCGTCAGGCGAGTCAGACTGGGTGTCCTTCGACATGGCTCAGAGCTCGGAGACACCTTGTGTGGCACTGTGTGACACAGTTCCTCGATACCCTCTGATTATTTGTTACATAGCCATGGAAAATCACCATGCTATTAATAGGTAAACCATCTATAAATGGACCATTTTCCATGGCTATGTTAAATAACCAGATGGTATCAGGGACGCATTTTTTGACACAACTTGATAAAAAAATGAGATAAAGTATCTCAAAGTACCTCAAAGGAGAAAATTCTGGGCTCCCTTCAGCAGTTTAAGATGATGACTGTGATGAATGTTGAACACTGATGTCTTTTTGATGTCTTTTTGTGTGTAACAGCGATGTAATAGCAAGGTGGCCACCATAGTGGCAGGGCTCGACGTGGATCGCATCGGCGTGGGGTTCCTGAATTTGCCACCGTGCCGCTGGTGGTGAAGAGAGTCAGGCCCTCACGATGCCGAATATGATCTTTACATTCAATCGGGTTGGGGCTGTTGCCAAGAGGGTGTAGTTTCAAGGAAACAGTGGAATTCAAAACTGCGATCTGCCGAAATGAGTTCCTTTTGAAGACACCGATCTGTGATGATCTCTATAAACACTGCACTGCAATTCCTTTGAGGTCACTCGAGGATCCTGGGCAGACCAGCAAGGCCTGGTATTCCATCACTGTCCGTCCAAACAGCACGTGAAAAGGTGAAAAAATGGTCACGGAATGTCACGGGCTAAATTCTGCGGGATGGCACGCACTTGCCATTTGCATCCATTTGCATCATGATCCATTCGGGGCAGTATTCTGTCAATTTCCATCCTGCCCCTGCAAGAAAGCCGCCACCCTGAGAAACACTATCCATCACTATCCGAGGATCACTGTACCCAAGCTAATTCATGCTTTCCTCCAGGCATCCAGTGCGGAGATGAATTCATGTCACTGGGCTGCAGGTTGCAATACCCAAGATGTGTCTTAAAGATATTACGACAAATATCCTTCTTGCAACATGAGATTCACTCAGTTTTTTCACTTTTCTTTGCTGGCTTTCTGTTGTCTTGACACTGGTTTCAATGTTACATCACTTTTTGCCTTTGTGACTGCACACAAATCACATTGTATAGTTTATTTGGACATGAATTCAAAGTGTTGGGGTCCCAAAACTCCATGCAAAGCCTTTCGACACTGGCCTTCCCTTTTCCAAAACTCCATCATTCTCATCCGTTCTTGTGCTTGCCCTTAGTTGCGGATCGAATCCAACACTCCAGCACCTCTAGCCCCCAAACTCCCTCATTTTCCGGTGGCCTTTGAGTTGATGCCATGCGGTGTGCCATTGCTAGGTCCGTGGATCACCGTCGCTCCAGAGCCTTTACCCCCTCAGAGTTCACCGCCGCAATGAAGAAGCGGCCCTTGGTCATCAAGCCACGTGGCGGCAGATCCCGTTGATGCTCCAAAATTCGCTGAATTTTCTCTGCAAGTTCCTGTGGTCTCCCATGGTCTCCCGTTTTTCCATGTTTTTCCTGTGTTTCAGCTTTGGAGCTAAGCAGCTAATGTCGTTCCTGCCCTGCCAGACCACAAGCAGACACCTCTTCAGGTTGCGAAGAACCGCAAGAAAAGGTGGAGCAGAGGTTCGCCGCGAAGTGGGGTAGTTTGTTCAATTTGTTCATTGCATTTCTCATTTGGGGAAGGCTTTCAGCATCCCAGAAAATCAGTTTCATGGCTGATGTTGAGCAGAATAGCTAATATCACATGATGGATGGGGTACCGGTATCACGCAGCTGATCAGCTTCTCAATTGAGGCAGAGATGCAACTCCGTGGCTTTGGGGTCGACGCTATCGTGAGCACCTCAGACCTTGACGATGGCAGCGCATGAGCTAGAGGATTCCAGAGAATATAGAATATTAGACGACGCTAGCTGGGAGCCTCAAGGGGAGTTTGGAGGGACGCCATCACGTTCGTAAAGCCCAAAGCAGTACTCGGCATAGTACCATCACGTACCATCAACAAATGTGTGGTGGATTTGATGCAACGTTTCTCGCATCATGCACTGCAAGTGAGGAAGAAGAGCACAGTGATTCGGAGGCATGGCGATTGTCAAAATTCATTGAAGCGCTTTGAGACATTGGATGACATTGGCAAATTGGGAGGGTGAAGAGGAAGAGGAAGAAGAAAGTGACTCTGAAGTCGAAGAAATGTGCCCGGCAAGTGGCTCAGACTACCATGACATACCATGTCCATTCCAAAAAGGGGGGTCGAAGGCATGATGATTTCTGCAATCTCATGCTGCACCAGTTCGCGCAAACTGCCTTAGCTGGGCCTACATCAATTCTTGTCAAGATCATTCTTTCCTTGAAGGATCGATACTGTGGAAGTTTGAGCATTTTCAGTGAGTCTTAATGACATGATCTCAGCCGCACTTCTAGCAAGGAGAAAGCAAAGGAGGCCGGAAATGCCAAACCTGATTTTAGTTTTTGATTTGTTTGATTTCCTTCTGGTACATTTTTGTGGCATGGTTTCCATTCGGTGAATTGGGACATCCAGGTGGCTGAGAAATTGGCGCGAGAGGCGGACTGTGAACTGCATGCAGCGTTTTCTCAACCACCAAATTTTTGCGGATACGCACGCTGTCCATGTGCATGTCGTCCATGTTCATCCGTGGCAATCATAG